ACAGGACAAGCACCTATGAGACACGTACACATGTACAATAGACAGACAAGAGTCACCAAAAATAAAAGGTTTAATGAACCTGTATCAGTGACCTTCAAGATAGGTAAGATCAACTTATTTAAAAGGCTTACAACCATCACTTTACTGACAATTTGTTTTGTTTGAATATTTTTACTCAGCATCTTGTGAACCTTCCTTGAAAGGCAGTAAGTTAATTGACGGATGTATCAAAAATATAATGCACTTATAGTTTTCACATTGTATATATATAGCCAACATGAAATCAGAAATTCGTCATTCTTACTTAAGTAGACAGCTTGAAGAATGAGCTATTCCGTGATATACGACGTACGTACCATTCTCTCCATTTGACTGTCAGTGAGTGTGTAACAGAAAGATGACACGGTGTATATTGTTAAGGATTACACAGTGACAAAGACAAAGCAGACAAAGACTGACATGTACTCCTTTGTTGTTTACATAACGTCATTCAAGACTATGCATCTCCAGTGTTTTATTGAAGATAAGGTGTTATATTATCGCATGCTCATCCTTTATTTTCTAGAAGTATGTAGGTTGAAATACAGCAAAGTTTTTTATTCCATTTATCTCTTAACCTTTGTATACCTACAACATCGCTGTGTATCCTACAGAGATTTACGATATAATCACACAGGCGTGGGATGCAATTCAAGGGAAGTAACTGAGTGATGTACGTTTGCATTCACAGCGTGTACTCGTATAAAATAAGTACATGTTGTGAACATGTTGTGTCCATCACTACAATAATACATTGCTTATAGTGAGTATATAGGAAAGTTATTAAAAATAAAAAGCTGAAATGTTATAATGAACCAAAACATAACTAAAGTATTGTCGAAATATCAAAATTAAAAGTATTGTAATTAATGTAAAGCCTTTCAATTCAAAAATGTATATTTGAGGAATTTTGAAATGCATACATGTACAATTGCTAATTTGCTTACGTGGCAGCTATGCGCCTGCGGGCGCTTTCTAAACGCTATCTTTTTCAGCAGAGCCGATTAAGATAGCATTGTTATCTCCTTGAAACGGTATACGGTTAAAACGGCCGCACTGCAGTAACGGCCCTAGTAAAAACGGCCCCACTTTATATATAGTATAGTATATACTGTATAATACTGCAAGTACTACAAGTGCGTAATACAGGTACATAACTTGATATTATGTTAATAAAGTTACATGCACTTTCAAGAAATAAAGATATGTACATGTACAGATAAATACATTATAATTGTGTTTGTGTTTTCATTGATAGTTGACCCTCCTCAGTCTCAAATACCTTTGCAATGGTGTTTTCTACTTCAGTGTTTAATTTAATTTAATTTAATTATTTAGAGAAAAGAATTAATTAAAAAACTTATTGAATAGCATTTGAAAAAAATAGTTACAATATTAACTAATAATAATTTAGATATGGGAGGAGGGTCTTTCTTGTTTTAACAGAGTATCTCGGAGTGACTCAATTAAAACAACAATTAACGGGATTGGTCAGAGGGTGTAATAAATTGGACGAACGTATAGCAAAATCTTCACATATCATTTGAATTTGAATAAGATTTTCAACCATGAGACCAGCATTGACGAACTGTTTAGAGTGCGACAGTGTTATTCGACCTGCACAGCATGCACTGCAGTGCGATTGCTGTAGTAGATGGCAGCATAGAACGTGTGGTACCGGTAAGTGATATGAAATATATATAAATGTCAATCACAGAAATACCCAATTGATACATAACCGTGCATAGTAAGATAGGATGATTTTATATAAAAGATAAGAAGACATAATCTTACTGTTGTATAATTGTTGTTGTTTAATTTAGTAATTGTCAAATTAATAATTACGTTATAATTGTCTATTTATTGAAATATACATCAATGTTCATATATATATACGTCCCGTTATAATTGCCTATTTATTGAAATATACATCAATGTTCATATATATATACGTCCCGTTATAATTGTCTATTTATTGAAATATTGAAATATATATTTTAAAAATTACATCTTATAATTATTATGGTCATACATATATTCGTCCCGTTATAATTGTATATTTATTGAAATATACATTTTATGTTCATATAACATGTTTTAAACATTATATAGACATATCACTGGCGATGTATCGTGCTACTATGAGGGGCGAGGACGGTGGACTGATAACTTGGTGTTGTCGTGACTGCACTCTCCCTGACCTTACCAGCTTTCAAAAGACGAAATTAAGAGGCTTGTGAAAAGTAGACTGAAGGATCAATTTATACAGAAATGGTTCATTTTGAATTGGTTTTAATAGGTACGGAAGGATCCCTTCAAACAGCTGTACTCCGTACACGCATTCCTTCAGAAGAACAACTCCTGCAAGCAGGTTCCGCTGGCCTTCATCCTGATGTCCAGCCGGAGGACGCAGGACTACGAAGCTGTAAGTAATTGGTCATTATCATTGTCATTATCTACCGTTCAACTATTATACCAGAAAACTCGGATTCTGATATTTTATTACATTGAACGACTCGGTAAAAGTATGTAAATAATAACTACACGCACTTATCATACACGTATTTACATTATCTTTAACTTTATCTGTTACAGGTTGGCACCATACAATTGTAGATTGAACGGCATAGCGGGACGGGCCAATTTGCCGTTCTACATCCTGGTTCCCCTGCTCCTGAAGGAAGGCTCACTGGTCAGCATCCAGATGAGACTGGTGTCCGAGTCATCACTCCAGAGGCACCAGCGGACGACCTACCGCAGAATCCAGGGGAAGGTAGCGGAGCTGTGGAACCAGTACGACCAGGATGCCATCTCCACCTCGGCGTTCCTGAAGAGGGTTGGCCACGTCTATGCCCCGAGAGCGACGGCTGAGCAGCAGTAGGGTATCAAATAATGTGAACAGTTTTTACAGATTTGGACATTTACGGTTTTTTTAATTGGAAACATTGTATTCAATTTGGACAATTTTTATAGTGAAATTTCGGTAGTAACTTCGGCAGACTAAATTCGTGTGGCTCTTACAGAGGGGGCCTCCACGTGGCAAGAGCTGGGCAACAACAATGTATGCATTGTTGGCTGACACCCTCGATTTAAATTCACTAAACATAAATAACAATTATCTTTTTGGAAATAAATTGAATGCTAGCTTAATTTAAAATCCAATCAAATTGTATATGACGATTTAAAAAGTAGGGCCGTTTTAATTAGGGCCGTTTTTACACTGTGGCCGTTTTGACCTAGATTCCTTGAAACCTGTCCTGGCTTGTAACGCATACATCTTTAGGACAATAGGTAGAAACATCAAAGGGAGGGTCATTATAGTTTGTATCATATATGTACTATATTTACCTGAGATATTTTACCTGTAGATCTACCTGTGATTTAACAGGTAAAAAGTTATGATTTTTATTAAACTTGCATAAGGTTCTAAAGAATAATATCATCAATATTGGGAAAATACTTATGTATTTAAATATATTTTAAAAGATATTACGAAGTTGCATAAAGGAGCTCACATATTAATAGGTGAGAAACTAGACTTCAACTTACTAATATAGAGCACTATGACTTATAAAAGAAGTTATTTACATGGGGTACAATACTGTCATCTGCCTCATAAATAAAAGCAATAATAATGCTGTCATATAGATAATGTTTGCTTCAATATTTTTGGTCAAACCAAAAAAAAAATGTAACTCTAAAAAGCGTCTCCTTATATTTTGGAAAAAACGATAAAACACATGTTTGAAATAATCGTGAAATATTCGTGTATCTGTGATAAATATATAGTCCCTATCTAGTCCTTTATTGTCTGATTTAGCTTTCAAAGTAAGGATTAAATGTTCTTTAACTCTGTATATATTCATTTAAAAACATAAGTAAAAAATATGTCATGATTGAAAACACAGATATAACGAANCCTCTCCAAAACTAGGTAAAATATATTTATATTTTATTCCATTGAAAGTTTACATTTTTGTATGAAAAGTAAGGTTACAATTTTCCAATTATATAAGTGCATAATACAATGACCTTTCCGGTGTTCAGTATTGCAACCATTTGCTTTTTTCAAATTCTTTTGAAGAAAACATACAATGAGATCTGGTGACAGGGTTTTAACAACTTATAACACATTTACCTACTTCAATATATTATTATTCTTTCCTCCGAATCGAAGATTCCCAAAGAAACCATTGAAAATTGACAAAGTAAAGTACATGCCTTATACACTGTAACAATATACATAAAGGAAATTTAAACGACAATATTGTATCGTAAAGTGTGGGTTGATTCTGGAGTTAACTCCCCTTTGCGAGAGATAACCAACACACGATGTATACAGAAAAGGAAGTATGTTGCAATTGACACAATATGCAGGTTAGGATAATACTTGGACATCAATGGATGTACATTTTGCAAAGTCGAATAACACCGATATATCTAACGCATGCTTTACATTTGTTGGACATTTACGAGATGTCATACTTAAACAATATTTCTGAACGTATCTACATTGTATGTTCGTTGGAATTTGGGTAGAGGAGATTAGACGACGTGCGGGTAGATAATATCGGGGAGATTGTAACCTGTGCTCGAGTGAACAAGTTTGACACTAATTGGGTGAGTAGTTTTAGCATTCGCTTCACTACCGATTAGTCCGGTAGGGACATGTGTAATAGCCCCGGAGGTCGGGACGTAGTAAGTCGTTATCATCGGAAGAATGTGCCAGGATTAGTGACAATTATCGTAAAACGCTTTATGTATGTAGTTATAAAATTATGTATTGGTATTACCTATTTTTGTTTTTCAAAATCTAGTTAGATGATTTCAACAGTGTTCCTGCGGAAGTTTGGCTTTAAATGCGTATATTCGAGGTGTCATGGACCATTTTTTAGGAAAGTGGGTAGCCCTGAAAAGGGCTGTTAGGATTGGAGGCCATTAGAGACCAAACACCATGTGTTTTACTTCTTGGCTGCTTCTTTCTTAGTTGCAGGCTTCTTGGCTGCTGCTTTCTTAGTTGCAGGCTTCTTGGCTGCTGCTTTCTTCGTTGCAGGCTTTTTGGCTGCTGCTTTCTTAGTTGCAGGTTTCTTGTCTGCTGGCTTTTCGGCTGCGGGCTTCTTAGCTGCTGTTTTTTTGGCTGCGGGCTTCTTGGCCGCTGGGTTTTTAGCTGCAGGCTTCTTGGTTGATGCCTTCTTGGGGGTATTGACCTTCTTCGGTTTGGCGGCTTCCTTAACTGCTGGCTTCTGCACAGCTTTCTTAGGCGTCTTGGCTTTTTTAGTAGCAGTAGCCTTTGGTTTGGTTTCTGTGACCTTCTTTGATTTTTTGGCTTCTGCTTTAGGTTTCTTGACTGCTACTTTCGGTTTCTTTGCTGTCTTGGGTTTTTCTCCAAGTTTGAAAGAGCCAGTAGCTCCGTTTCCCTTTGCTTGCATCAATGTTCCCTTCTCCACACCATTCTTCAGAGCAGTTCTTATTCTTGGAGCAACCTTGGTCTTTTCTTCACTGACCTTGTAGTTAGCCATGATGTAGGCCAAAATCGCAATTTTGGACGAACCTTTCTTTTCCTTCAGCGCTCCGATAGCTGCAGCTACCATGCTGACATAAGAAGGGTGAGCAGCTGGAACGGTAGGCTTGCTTGCCTTCTTGGCGGTTTGCTTAGCTGTAGAATCGGCAGCGCTCATGGTGACGAGTTGAGTATAATACTTGTTAGAGGTATAAACGAGAATGTCATTTTTTTTCAAATCCGCCTATTTACCCAAAATGCTTGAACGTCGCCGAAGACACCCCTCATAATTTCAGATCTTCGCCGATTACATTAGCAGTTATATGAATTATGTGTTTTCTTACCAAACTTTAATCATAAACAGCTCATTCGTTATAAACCCTATATTATTTTTGTTAGCACGAAATTAAAGAATTTTATTGCAAGATTTTAGCTTTTAAAAGTAGAAACGTTTATCTTTTGGGAAAACAGTATTTACAAACCATTTTCTGCTGATATTTTACCTCGTAATGGTAAATTTCCTGTATAAATGTAAAAATATCTTAAATGTACTTATACAACTATTATTTTTGTACCACTAAAGTAAAATGCAAATATTTGTCTTTCGTATGGTGTATCAAACATGTGTAATTATCTTCTTCGATATCAATAACAATGCGATTCTATCGGGATATAGAAACACAAACTAGGGACAGGCTCCATGCATACTATAGGCTACCCGGGCACTTATGGTAAAAGCTTCCTTTCTGATCTATATAGTAAATGCTGGGAATGGCTATTGCCATTACTTAGATCATATAAAATGCCAAATGCTTTGGTTGTAGTAATTGCATTGGTTAGGTTCAGTGATGGCCGACAAACTAAATGTAGATGTAGATTCGATTCTCGCTCTTATATTTATTTACCTTTGGAACTTAGTGCCTGGGTCATAGCAAGAAAAACAACCAGATCCCTACACTATAAAAAGATCACTGATGAATTGTGATGCTGGGAGTGAGAGTCGTAGGATGGAATTCCTTGGGATCACTATTGTAACAAAATGGGCCAATACATCACCATGTAATCAATGTAAAACAATATCATACCAAAATCATGTCTTATCATGAACAGCTCAACTGCAGGTATGATACAGTAAGGATGGGCACCATCGCGCAGATCATCCACATAAATAGATAACGACGAGAGTTGGTACGGTTTCGAGAGGGGAAGTAAAGATATATTAAGTTTTGTCAACAGGGAGGAATGTGCTCATTCAATGTCTTGTACTGGAATTTACGACCTTTATTACCAGAAAGGAGTAAGCACTCAATCGTTGAGACCAATGTATTGTTTAGTGTGTTTGCAATATACACATACATGTATTTATATTAAGAAAATTGCTATGATGCATCTTCTTCTCGAAAATGTTCCTGATATTGTCCGAGGAAAGATGCATCTATCAAGATATACAGGGCTTAAATACAGATTGTAGAATAAGTAAAACTTTTGATCATATAACTCGCGATCATTTCAAAATGTAAAGCAGAACTGTAAGCCAAATACGTTCAAACCGCTCATTCTGAAGTCCTAAATTCTAAAAATCAACCTTTTATTACAAATCATATATATATGCCCCTATATATCACTATCACATAATATCAACGAAATTGGCCAAATATACCCCAAGTTACAACCATTGTTGTCTCTGAAAATCAGAGGCTTTGGCAGCTTTCTTGAATAAAAAATAAATAATGAAAAGTTGGTCTTTTGATGACAATGACAATGACAACGACAAGTTTTTATTCTCGCAAACTGGTTACAGTGTAGAGAGTTATATACATATATATATAGTACAGTTTACATATATAAATCATGGTGTTAATGGCCAGTGTTAATTCGCTCAATTATGTGCTTAAGGAATTATATAAGTGATATTAGTTCTTCATTATTGACATAATTAAATAATGTATTAAACTTTAAAGTACTAGGACTTTCAAAAGAGTATCTCGACATAAATTTTCTTCTGTTTTGCACTATCTGGTGGTCATTACAATTAAATAAATAATGATATTCGTCTCCAATTTCATTTAGGTCACAAAAAATACATTTTCTATCTTCTCTTGGAATGTTATTCCATCTACCACATTCAATAGGAAATTTTACATTACAAATTCTAAATTTACAATAAACATTTGCTAGTCTTGGAGGGAGATCTAGCAGGTATTTTTCTAATACTAAGTCATTTTTAAAAATTCTGTAATTGGTCCCTTTAGATGAATTGAAAACATCGCTTCTCCAATTATTAATGAATTTATCTTTTAGTATATGGAAAACTGTATTTTTCAACCATTGGGTACTTTGGAATTCTTGACTTTCAAATATATTTATTAAATTACATTCATCAAGGATATTTTTAATACAATTCAACCATTGAGTATTATAGTTTATAATAATTTTATACATTTTATTACTTAACTTATTAGGTATTGGTTCTAACAATTTGGCCCAAAATCCAATCATTCTAACTTTGATATTTATACTCAGAGGAAATCTTCCTAATTCCCCATAAATCATGAAATTGGGTGTCGATGTTTTCACCTGAAGAATATGTTTACAGAATTTTAAATGTAAACGTTCTAAAAGTTTGTAATCACAAAAACCCCAGACTTCACAACCATACAACATGACAGGCTTGATAGCTTTATCGAAAATATCTAATTTACAGTCAATTGATAGATTATGGTCTCTGCATTTAGCAATAGCACCATACATTGCTCTAAGGCCCTTATCGTATAATTGTCTAATATTTAACTGCGTGAAACCATTTTGAGTAAAATGAACACCAAGATATTTGAAATTTTTCACAATTTCTACTTCATTTCTGTTATAAGTAAAACGTATATTTTGGGATACTCTCCCTCTGCCAAATATCATCACTTTTGTTTTATCGATATTTACTTTAAGATGCCACAATTTTGAATAATCATAAAACACATTAAGTTGTTTTTGTAAATCTTCTGGGGTGTCTGCTAACAAAATAGTGTCGTCAGCATATAACATTACATACAACTTGAGATATATTTGTAACTCATTCTCAAGTTTTCCCGCCAAATTTGATAGGCCTGTACAATCATTAGATTCTAAAAACATTTCAAGGTCATTTAGATACAATGAAAATAAAAATGGAGAAAGATTTTCACCCTGCCTAACCCCGGAATTACAGGTGAAGATATCGGAGAATTTTCCATCTTTCATAACTTTAGCCTTAATTCCATTGTACATATTAACAATAACTTTAAAACATTTTCCATCTACATTATTTGTTATTAATTTATTCCACAACCCTATTCTCCAGACACTGTCGAACGCTTTCTCAAAATCTATGAAAGCACAATACATACGGTTTTTGAATTGTTTTGAAAGTTGAATTAAAGAGTATAAAGAAAATATATGATCTATAGTAGAATGTTGCCTACGAAAACCTGCTTGGTTTTCAAGTATAAGTTCGACATTGTCTGCATATGTATTTAGACGCTCATTAATTACAGCTGTAAATAGTTTACCTAGGCAACTGACCAGTGTGATTGGTCTATAGTTTTTAGCGTCATACATATCACCTTTATTTTTAAACACGGGGATAATATTACCCATAAGCCATGCTTCTGGTACATTACCAGAATCAAGTATATAGTTAAACATTTTAACATATAATGGAAGCATTATGTCAGTAGTTGATTTGATATATTCATTACATACTAAATCATCACCAACAGCCTTATTAGATTTCAATCTATTGACACATTTCAAAATTTCACTTGGAGTAATTGGACCATTTATAAAGGTATTAGTTTCAAGGTTAGACAACTCTTTGAGTTCATCAAGGGACAGTATATGAGTGTCATCACCATCAAAATCGTTATTGAAACTTTTGCTAAAAAAGTCAAAAAGATCATCGATATTTGTCTTACATGTGTTTTTCTTTGGAGCACCCTTATTTATTATTTTCCAATATTCTTTCGGATTTCTAGTCCTCATATTTTTTAATTTGCTTTTAATCTGAGTTTTATGATTCTTGACAGCAGTGCTCAGTGTTTTATGATATTTACGCTCCTTATCATATAAGTCCTCTTTTAAACTTATTTCCCCATACCTTTGTGAAGTATATCCTTTTCGGATCTCTCCCAGAAAGGTTCATGGTGATTGGTTACATAGGTACATAATTTTGAAAAAAAGTACAGATGTGGCTTGAAATTAGACAAAAGGGCAATAATTCTGGAAAAAGTAGAAACCGGTTGGCTACAATGTATTCCTAACTGGAGAAAAAAAGGTATAAATACATCTATCCGGCGTGCAACGATTTTATGTAACGATCATCCATATCATGTTTTGTTAAATCGGATGTATCATTTCGGAAGAGTATGCTATCAACGAACAGACAAACGTGTAAATTCGAGTCAACCCCACCCCACTCCTCCCCTAACGTCGTTGTGATAAATAACAGTTATCCTCCCATCTATCTTTTCTATCTCTACCCTTCAGCTTTATTATCCGTAACGAAAAAAGTGTGCCTATAGACGGATGTACAATGTATGGACAAGGTGGGCACTATACGGGAACAACTACACATTAACTGCACTGTCCTGATGAAAACAAATTTATAATCTTAACAGAGCCTTTCATCTCAACGGATTATAACATCCATTTTTCTGTTGATATACATATACATGTATTCAGTTTACAACGGTTTGTAACGGATGTCTCGCGCTCATAAGTATAGAAATATAATGCACAGTGGTTCTTGCCAATATATCTGCAGTTTAACGGAAGTCGTGTGTCGAACACCAGTTGCTAAGAGGAAATCATTCACAGATATTTTCCTGTTTGCAAAGTGCGATACTTTTTTATTACTTACATTTCGTTACACCAAGACCCGAGTGTGTACATTAAATGTAACAAGTTCCAAAGGAAAATTAACTTCTTCGTTAAATCGTTAAACTCAACAATATTTCCCGAAAATGGATATCAGTTCCTTACCGCTGGGCTCCAGTGAGCTCCTAATGGAAGAAGAGAAGAAGGAATACCTGGCGAACTACATACCTTTCACCATTATGATGGCTTTTATCTTCGTTGTTGGATTGATAGGAAATGCGACGGTCCTTGTGATCTACTTCATCAGGTACAAACCCTCCACCTACAGGGTATGTATTCTAACTCTCGCTGCAATTGACTTATCTAGTTGTATGATAGACGTACCGGCCTACTTTGCTGAGGAGAGATTCAGCTATACTTATCGTGCTGGCGGACCGTGCATTGTGTTTGAAACTTTTCACTTCTTCATTCTAAGTTTTTCCTATTTGATGTTGAGCTTCATTGCAATAGAACGGTATCGACGATCATGTAAACCCTTTGCTCACCAGATCACTCTAAACGAATCCAGATTCATTTGTGTAGTCCTCGGGGTCGCGTGTCTTTTGATTTCGTCTCCAGGTATTTGGATACACGGAATCGTCTTAGTTCAAGTTGAAGCTGCAAATGTTACGGGTTACAGGTGCGACGTGATTGACAAATCATCTAATCTCACAAAGGGTTACTATGTGCTGTGCTTACTTCTCCTGTTAGTTTCATTGATCATCTGCGGAACTATGTATACATTGGTTGGCCGAGTTCTAATAAAAAGAAGAAATGAATTGAAACTACATTCTCCCAAATCAGCAGTTGTTCCATCTGTGCAGGATGAAACCGTCGGAGAAAGTAATACAACAAAGACCCCTGTTACCCCACCAGAGCACCATGAGGATTCATCCTCGGGCGAAGTTGACGATATTGAGTCAGACCAATTAGACAAAAGTGAAACCACTTCAACTGACCACAATCTTAAGGTACACAACACTGAAGACACTTCAAATATAATACTAACCAAACACAAACAGAAACCTAAAGGATTTATCATGATGAAGAAGAAAGGAAAAAAGAAGAAAAAATCTATAAAATTAAAAATGGCCAAGGATTTGAGGAGAAAACGGTACAACAAAAGCGTTCGGATAACCCTGATGTTTCTTGTGGCTTCCGTTCTCTCTTGTCTGTCAGCATTCCCTTTGCTTCTGCTCCAGACGATCGAAGGTGTCAGTTCGTCTGCCATGAATTACATGGAAACGAACTGTTTGTGGTTTGCAGTCATTTTGGCTAGGTCTCAACTTTTAAATCACATCTTTAATCCGATCGTGTATGGCTTTATGGATGAGAAATTTCGTAACGAGTGCATCATGTTTTGCAAACGATTTAAGAGTAAACTCTCGGAGAAGTGCTGCAGAAGAAATCAAAAATAAATACAGTAAGGATACTGTAGACATCTGTCTTCCTCCTTCACAATTCACACGTGTTTTACCCGAAAAACATGTGCAATTATTGATAAAAAATACAGTTAAATGTTTATGAAAGAAAACAGTTAACAAAAATATTCTTACTTATCAATAGTTATAATAAAATCTGTAGTTATCCATTAAAATGTACACAACGGCCCAACCTCACTGAATACCGATTTGATAGGGGAAAGTACAGCGAAATGTGGTCATATGCAAAGAGTACAAATTAATGCAAAAAATGACAAAATACAATCTGAAAAACTGACACCTCGCTTTCGAGAAAGTACAAACGATGCAAGTCTGAAAACAATAGTCAGCACTTTGAGGAGCATGCGGAATGTTTTGATATATTTTGAGGTTTCATCGTAGAATAACTATTGTAACAGAACCGTCGTTGAAAACATCACTCAGAAAAAATCTGCATGTTATTCCCATTTTTTTTATCTTCGTGATTTATTTCTCCATGATAAATCAGACCGTAGCTTTACCATTTGACCTGTTTGTATTATGGTCTGATTTTAACCAACATCATTTAAGGACTCGTAATTATTTCTATGTTAAAATTTGTTTCAATATTAAAATTATACAGTACGATTAAGTATATGACAAAACCTTCAGTGACCAAACACGTGAATTAACAAAATTAGAAGACATACCATCCCCTTCAATATTTTGGGGTTTGGCGATACTTCCATAGAGACTTATACAGGAATTGTTAGGAAAAATAAAAATTAAGGCAATAAGAAAGGGGGAAAATGTTACGAAGGTCATTACATCATGGGTTTACCGTGGAATGAATGTTTTAACCTCTCGTGAACATGGATTTTGAGTATCACCTTCTAGTTTTGATATTGCTAACTACTTTCTATGATAAACTCTTTTTCTTTGTTTCAGGCAGAGACGTATATACTACTTTATATGTCCTTGTTTCAAACATTGGAAATTTTCAATGTTTGTTTAACCTTGAGAACAGTGCAATATTGTGCTTTTCCTGTGGTTTACATGAAATCGTGTATAAAATTAAGGCGAATATGCATTTGTATATATATTTTTATCCAAGTACAAATATTATTTCTCAATAAATATATTGTTATACATCAAATGCATTCTAACTGTTCGTTTACATGATCGCAATCACCTCATCGTATCTAAAGCATTTTGGATTTATATTCCAAGATGTTTAACACATATTGTAGAACATCAACTGTGAATTAATTTCAGCAAGTATTTACACGGGAGTCGATGGCAATTAAAACTTTATCGTAATAGCGACAAAATGCAAGGTCAATCTTGTAAATCCATCCGATCCAGATTGGACGTGTTTCATATCGACAAACGAAATCGATGAATCTCAAGAGTGTTAGACATGTTTAGTACTATATATGTCCATAGCAGTAAAATTATTAGTTCTGGCGATTGGGACATTTATAACACCTGAGTTCCAGTAATGAACTTGTTCTAGCACATCTCTGAAGCAAACACATACTTTATATTCCTTCATCCCAAAATGCTACTAGTCAAATATCATAACCCTTGACCTTTTGGTTATTCAGATTAAGTCGTTTTACTTTAAAGATTTCAACATAGTTTATCCATGTGACCATGAATATGGGCGAAGGTCATTCATGTGAACAAAATTGGTAGACCTTCATACCAGCATGTTATTGGCAAAATATCATCCTCCTAGGCCTTTTGGTTATTCAGAAGAAGTTGTCAAAAAACTTTAACATATTTGCCTTGAAAATTGGCCAAGGTCACTCATTTGAACAAACTTTGTAGCCCATCTTCCCAGCTTGCTACTGGCCAAATATCATCACCATATGTCTCTTGGTTATTCAGGAGAAGTCTTTTAAAGCTTTTAAACATATTTGACCCATGTGACTTTAAATATCAGTCAAAGTCATTCATTTGAACAAACTTGGTAGCTATTTCTCTCCTTGGAAAAAGTAAATTAAAACAAAAAGTTGACGCTGGACGGATGGACAACGGACGCCGAACCACGGCATAAGCTCACTTGGCCCTTCTGGCCAGGTGAGCTAAACAAGAGACCAAGAGGGGCATGTTACATGAAAATGACATATGGGTAATTTTCAGACCAAATTTGGCAACTGAACACACAAGACATTTTAACATCTCTCCAATGCTTCCTAAGATATTGTTGTTTGAATTTTGAAATTTTAATTTTAAAGTTTTTAACCCACGTTGACCTTTGACTCCGGCTAGCACTTAAAGTTGACATTTCACCTCATTACTGTAATAAAGAAAAAGATTCGCACTGCTGGTCTAGATAGCATACCCAAGTATTATGACTCTCGACCAAATGCTTCTTAGGATATCATTGTTTAAAGTTTTAAACATATTTGACCCCTGTGAACTTGAGAGTAGGTCAAGGTCATTTTAAAAAGGAATCTTTACAGTACTCCATCCCAGGTACATTTGTACCTACAGGCCAAATATCATGACCCTGGGCCTTCTGAAACTTGAGAAGATTGTTAAAGCTTTTAACTCATGTTAACGTTTGACCCCTGACTAGAACTTTAAGGTTTACCTTTGACCTCATTACTGTAATGAAGAAAAAGATTTGCACTGCTTGTCTACATAACACATCCAAGTATCTAGACCCAAGTCCAAATGATTCTTAGGATATTGTTGTTTGAAGGTCAAGGTCATGTTAATGAGGAAACTTATAGCACTCTATCCCAGGTATCTACTGGCCAAATATCATGACCCTGGGCCTTATGAAAGTTGAGAAGAAGATTGTTTAAGCTTTTCACCCATGTTAACGTTTGACTAGCACTTAAAAGTTGACCTTTGACCTCATTACTGTAATATAGAAAAAGATTTGCACTACTTGTCTACATAACACACCCTAGTATCATAACTCTAGTCCAAATGGTTCTTAGAATATTGTTGTTTGAAGTTTTTAACATATTTGACCTCTGTGACCTTGGAAGTAGGTCAAGGTCATGTTAATGAAGGAACTTAAAGCACTCTATCCCAGGTATCTACTGGCAAAATAGCATGACCCTGGGCCTTATGAAAGTTGAGAAGAAGATTGTTTAAGATTTTCACCCATGTTAACGTTTGACTAGCACTTAAAAGTTGACCTTTGACCTCATTACTGTAATAAGGAAAAAGATTTGCACTACTTGTCTACATAACACACCCTAGTATCATAACTCTAGTCCAAATGGTTCTTAGAATATTGTTGTTTGAAGTTTTTAACATATTTGACCTCTGTAACCTTGATAGCAGGTCAAGGTCATATTAATGAGGAAACTTAGAGCACTCTATACCAGGTATCTACTGGCCAAATATCATGACCCTGGGCCTTATGAAAGTTGAGAAGATTGTTTAAGATTTCACCCATGTTAACGTTTGACCCTCGACTAGCACTTAAAAGTTTACCTTTGACCTCATTACTGTAATTAAGAAAAAGATTTGCACTACTTGTCTACATAACACACCCTAGTATCATAACTCTAGTCCAAATGGTTCTTAGAATATTGTTGTTTGAAGTTTTTAACATATTTGACCTCTGACCTTGAAAGTAGGTCAAGGTCATGTTAATGAGGAAACTTAGAGCACTCTATACCAGGTATCTACTGGCCAAATATCATGACCCTGGGCCTTATGAAAGTTGAGAAGATTGTTTAAGATTTCACCCATGTTAACGTTTGACCCCCGACTAGCACTTAAAAGTTGACCTTTGACCTCATTACTGTAATTAAGAAAAAGATTTGCACTACTTGTCTACATAACACACCCTAGTATCATAACTCTAGTCCAAATGGTTCTTAGAATATTGTTGTTTGAAGTTTTTAACATATTTGACCACTGACCTTGAAAGTAGGTCAAGGTCATTTTAATGAGGAAAGTTTATAGCACATCATCCCAGGTACCTTCTGGCCAAATATCATGACCCTGGGTCTTATGTAACTTGAGAAGAAAATTGATAAAGCTTTTAACCCATGTTGACATTTGTTGCCCGAATAGCACTTTAAGTTGACCTTAGACCTCATTACTGTAATTTAGAAAAATATTTGCACTGCTGGTCTTCATAACACACCCAAGTATCATGACTTTAGTCCAAATGGTTCTTAGAATATTGTTGTTTGAAGTTTTTAACATATTTGACCTCTGTGACCTTGAAAGTAGCTCAAAGTCATTTTAATGAGAAAACTTTAGAGCACTCCATCCCAGGTATCTACTGGCCAAATATCATGACCCTAGGTCCTCCAGTTCTTCTTCAGAAGTCGCTCAAAAGAAAAAATTGACTGACGGACGGACGGACGGACGGACAACAGACGCCGCAGTACGTTTTACCATGCCCCCCCCCCCCCCCCATCTTATTTATAAGTTCATGAAACCTGCCAGCCGTCCCGAAAGATATGACCTCAAATATTTGATCCTGATAAAAAAGGGTCATGAAAATGGTAAAGATGGCTCACCTCTTCCAAGACAATAGATACGTACTAACCCTTGTTTAAATTTTTAAATTGATGGTTCCTAAAAGCAATTACTATATGATGATGAAGACAAAGCCACTCAAAAGGCTGGAGTAAAATGAAACAAATTTATTAACAATAACAAACACAATGTGGATAACCATAATATCACAGTATGTTTCAACAGTAATTCCCAGAAAATACCTGAGTAACAGAATAACAGGTAGTCAATAGTTTTGGCACATGATGATCACAGAAACGAAATGATTAAATTAATACAATCTAACATTTAAAACAAGAAACTAAACGGACTACATATATATGAATTCCATTCTTACAAAGTTCTTCTGAATTGATCACATGTAAACTCAGAAATCTTAGAGTAGTACATAACACATTGAAATGTCACAATCTTCTATAAAACTGATTGACATTGCTTATTAAATCATTATACACTTTCAATAAAATCTGAAAAGTCTGATGTTACAGTTTAGCAAATTAGAACACCTCTTCTTTTGTATTTAATTCAATCTTGCTTTCCTTGCTTAATGTTCTGCTTGATCACACCATAATTTCCCTTGAGACAATGCTTGCTTTCCTCTTACTTGTTCTTGGCTCATCATACACATCTTGACTATCACAAACATCGAATTCGTGATTCTGTGATAAAAAATACAGCAAACAATTAATGCATAGTTTTCCTTGAACTAAACACATGATATTTATGATTTTCATCTTGAAAACTTTCTCCTCACATCAAATGATTGACATTAATAACTGATAACATATTCACCATGTATCGTTATATAGTGGTGTCTTAAATAATTGCTAACGTTGGTGTAGACTAGAGGCTATCCAACTTAGTTGTGTGTAGAAGTGTTGGGGATGGTCATAAAAAAAGTCCTCTTTCCCATATATCTATTTCTAGAACAGCCCTTAATAGATACACTAGTATTAAATGAAACTTTTAATATTAACATTTATTTTAACACTTGTAAACCTGTTCTCTCTGAATATCTTATAAATTGTTTTATATGAAAACTCACCCCATCCACCTTGGAGATTGCCCTTTTCCTTCCTTTCTTTGTAGGGACTGGTGCTGTAAATTCCTCTTCTTCATTCATATCAATGGAAAGTCTAGGACTGCATCTCACCTTCGTTAAAAATATGACAGATAATGCAGTAAATGAAACATACTGTACTTGCACAGTAAAGTATTCCCCGAGAAAAAAAATTCTTTCGAATATCTATCCATTTTCAATAAGCCTAAGCAACTATTGTCCAGCAAAATATTCATCCTTTGCTGGTAAATTTAAATAACTTTCACCTTCTAAAATTCTACACCATTGTTGGTAAACTTGAAAACTTTTCACACAGTTTAATACTCTTATCTGAAAAAATATTTGCCATCTACTAGGAAAATTTATATTTTTTTCTATCATTAATTTCACCTTACATAGTGACAATTCAATAGAGTATAGTAAACTTAATACCGTAAAAACCCATGTATTTATATTCATGAAATATTTCTCGTCATTACAGAGAAAGACTCTGGTGAAATGAAATTGCAGCAAACATTCCCAATATACAGTAGTAGATTGTGAAATATATATAATCACTGAATCTGTAATCCAAAGGTTGTCACTACAAAGTTTGATGTTTAGAAACTTGCTATAAATATCATGTCATTGTTGATAGTACACTCCTATATACAATATATGTTAAACTCAAATCCCTACCTCTTCAACAGGTGCTACTGTTGTCTTCTTCTTGTTCTTTTTCCCTTTCTTCTTCCTTGAAAGACTGATGCCCTCTGCCATCTCAGTTAGCTGAGAAATCTATCGAGATAAATAATAATATACTTCCAGCTAGACATTAAACAATAACTTATGATCTTACTACCTTTTTCTTGCCTCTTTTTGGCAATATCTCCCTAGGCACCCTTCTTCACCTGACCTTAGCTGTTATGAGGACGTGAAACCATAACACAAACAAACAAAATCTTAGTGATGTATCAAAAATAAATCCTTGTAAAAGTACATTTTTATTTATCATCTGAGAAGCACCAAGTAAACGGTTCTTAACCCATGTATCTAATCAGACTTCCATATATAAACTCAGTTAATAAGTGAAAAAAAGTAGAAAGTTTCTTCGAAAATATTTGGTAAATTGTACATAGCAGCCTCAAATTCTGATGACTTGAATACCACATGTAATTTGATTTAATTTCATGCAACTTTCATTGTATTGCCACATATATTTTTTTAACTTATATCTGAAGATGTTTTGTCATCACTGTTATGAAGGAATTTCAGCAAAAACCAAGAGTAACTTCCTTATGATAACTTTGTATATGCCCCAAAAACACTTGAACTTGAATGTAAAATCATATTGTTAAAATATTTCTTTGTACAATGACATACCTTATGATTATAATACAACTACAGGAAAACAGTGTTTAAACGTTCCCATTGTAATACTTAAACTTTTCATTTGCCACCTTGTTCACTGCCAACATATATATTTCAAGGTCAACAATGCCCCTCTTTTTATAAAAAAAAAAATGGAACACTACTAACTCCTAATGTATTTCAAGATTCCTTTTGTAAAATAATTCATGTGTAGTTTGCAACTATGCTGATAATCAACATTTTTTAAGGTCAAATGAGATTCTTTTCCTCCTCACAATTATACTTTTAATACAATATACCACAAATTCCTAATATAACATAAGAATCATACTTTTAATACAATATACTATATATTCCCTTTATTATATAACATCAAAATGTTTGACAAATGGAATTGTGGTGGCAGTACATTGATTTAATCTACATATACAAACAATACAATGTCTACATGTTACATATATTGTTATTAAACATCTGCTTAATTGACAAGATTCATTTGAATTAATTCACATACCGGAATATCCTCTTTAGGTGTCAGTGTTTTCTCACTTTGTTCTTTGTGTTGACAGGTTTTCTTTTTGAAGTATCTTGGTATACCTTCATTCAAAATCTTGCTCTTTTCCACAATTTTTCCAAGTCTTTGATAAGAAAAGAAAAAAAATCTTTACTAAGTAACAAGAATTAGAGTTAGAGTATGTGTTTTATATAAACATTCTTGTTTAACACAAAACATTTATAACTACATTTTTTGTATTCTTATGTTCTTAACATGCTCTTGATCATGCTTTGAGAATAGTTCATCTGAATTTACTGCTGAGAACAACTTACCAGAGCAAAAGACTCATATTACATGTTATAATTTTTCAGACATATAGAATTTTTTGTTTTTTACTTTCCTATGTACTATTGAAAGGTTGGCAGGTATTAATTAAAGATATCATCACAAAATATTGAAATAAAAAAGTCATGAAGTGTTACCTTTTCCCCTTCCCTGCATTGCGAATGAACCCTTCCTTTTCTAATCTGTTCATAAGACCTTGAGCCACAGCCATCTCCACACCAAGCCTTCTAGCCAGATTTGGTCCAATCACCCTGTTCATCTCTGAAGTAGCCATCAAGGCCCTTCTCCACAGACAAGTAGCCTGCATTCATATACAAAAATAGTACACCTCAGTGGCATGTAATGGTCTAAAAGGTCTTTGTATTAGCAAAAGAAAATACATTTAACTATTTTATAAAAAATAATGAGAATTTTTAAGAGGAGCTATAGGAAAACAGCATAGATCTTAGGACCCTGCAATTCAAACTTACATTTTTATTGTTACATTGAAATATATATGGAGTTTGATTAAAACCTGTTAAGAAATAAAGTCATTAGAGCAATGACAAACATTTTTCGTTGTCAAGGAAACAATGACACCGGTCACCCTAAAACATTCAAGGTATTTCTAACTTTACCAACATATTATTACCCGGTATTTGATTGTTGTTAGAGCAGTGACAAAACATTCTATAAATTGTAAATGAAATTGACCTTAATAAATTACATACTCTTGTGAAAACTTTTTATCCTGCAAAACATGCAACCAAAAGTTTCCTTTGCTCCATTCTCATAGATGTGCAAAAATGATCATTGCATACAAAAATTCCCAAACTCTAGTACTTATAACATCTTCAGTTTCTTTTGATTTAATTAATGCTGTCTATTTTCTTTATGTTTGCTATATATCAAAACACTAAAATTATCCATATTTTAACATTATAGCCAGGTAGCAATTATCATACCAATATGAAAACTGATATCTAAAAGTTACGTAACTATTACATGTATTTAATACTCCTAAATTCTGTTTGCTAGCAGTTCATGCATGCTTTTTTCTCTCCATGCTTCCAACATGAAATAATTATTTCAATTTTTAATTGGAACTGGACTGAACATTTGGTTTAGCAAGAATAAGACCCTGATGCAGGCAGCATGAAGGAAAGCTGGTGATATCAATAACTTACCGGTATATCATAGGTGGTCGACATTGACAATTAGAATATAATTTATTACACATGCTATTCGGGTGATATTTTATGCAAGTATATAATACAAACATGTAAAATTTACTGTAAATGATATACCTGTACTCCAATTGATGATAAAGTATTGAGATATGGATCTGTTGGTTCTTTTTCTTGATTTCCTGGCTACAATGTAAACAACAAGATCCTTTAATTAACATAGATGTCATGACACTTGTTTTTGTTTCCTTTTCTATTTCAATACTGTGCAATTTGTATTTCAATGTATTGTCAAAACATTTGAATAAAACAAAGTTTAAACCAAGATCCTTTGTAAGAAATGTGCAACAAAATGTTAAAATACATGTTATTCAGCACAGTGTCTTTCATTTTGAATTGAATCAGAAGGTTAAATACAAAGTTACATATAAACAATTGAAACTGATTCATGATTTAAAGGAATGTGTAACTATCTAACATGAATTAACAGTACCAGCATGCACAAAATTGTGATACCTCTCCACAGATGTCACAGATGTGTCGTGTGGGAGCATCATTCTCAGACTGTACGAGGAAGCAAACTCCATGCTGCCATGCATTACAGATAGCACACAGAATCATTAATCCATCATCCTGTAAAGAAACAATAACTCTGTAACTTGTATCTTTTGAAATATTTGTTTTTTAAGCAAAATAATTTCATTATTTTATCATAACCTGAGAAATGAAATGAACCAGTTGAAATAAAACAAATGATGAAAGTGCAGTTTTGGAAGAGGAACGGCGTAATATTTTTATTCAGATAAATTGAAGTTTTCGTGAATTCTATGCCTAAGAGAATCCATGCAAGAATTCATGCATTGTATTAATACCAGTTAGTACAGCAGTTTCATGAATCTCACAAGAGTGGATACTGGGTATATGCCTACCACCACATTGCAGACTGTTACACTCCGATGAATCTTACCACAAATGAACGCACAATTTGCCTTTCCTCATATAATGCACATTGATACATTCTAAACTGAAAAATCTTATCAAATGCCTACCAGTAAATAAACATTCAGATTGGGACTACTTGAAATTTAATTGTTTGGGAAATATTTCAACTTTCAAATTTCTACATAAATTAAATTAATATTATCTTCTGGAAGTTGGCATGAAACTGAGTATGTGTGATCAGAATGAAAATATTGATTTCTATGGCGATGATTTATATAGTTTTCAGTATAACTACCAGTCAGAAGGAGTCAAATTTTACTTATAGGACAAACGTTAACATACCTCATAGCATCCACAAGGGCAACGCACTCCCAAGTCCTCATCTTGAACTGATATCTGACTCTTCTGAGAACCAGTTGTATCAATAGCTCGGTCTGTTGAACCTTCATCATTGACGAGTATAATAAGTTATATCAGTTCGTGTTTTATAATTTCTCAAATACAAAACATATGTAAAACATGGCCTTAACTTGTGTCCCTTATCTTTATGTAAGTTTCAGGTTTAAATAAAAAAAATGAAAACTACAAGTTATCTTGAGCCCTTGATCTTGAACACAAATGACAATAGGTCTGTAAATTCAAGCTTATGCCAAAATTCCTTTGCCTTGGAAACAACTGTGGCAAGTCCTGTTATATTATGTTCTTAAAGATAATACACTTTCAAAGACTTCATACCAGGAATGCTAAAAAGCCAATTAAATCTGTTAAATATAGAATTTGTATTTTTCTAGATTTTAAATCCTGTTTCGGTTTGCAAGTAGTGTACAATGTGTACTTCATTGAACTTGATCAATTTGATTTTGTAGTTACCAGTACTTAACAAGGGTACATTTTTCCTGTAAGCTTTGATGTTAAAAAAATGTGAACTACAACAACTTCAAATCATCTGAAAAACTTCAGTCCCTAAATGTCATCTGGAAAATCACTGGAATTAAGTTGTATATTCATTTCAATTGTGTGGGTTTTGGTAATCAAAATCACAAACCAGGCATAGCAGGCATTTCTGTAGGAACTACGGCATCTGGTGTATGGCACTTTTTAGACTGCTTCCCTCGAAGAGGCACTTTTTCTGTTTGGACATCATCATTAATGAAGGAGTAAACATCACTCTTACATTCCTGAACTTCTTGCTCCTAAAAATAAAAGAAATATTAAAATTGTACATGATGTCATAGTATTTTTTGGGGGGAAACAGTGTCTAAAGTATTAATACCTGAGAATGAGAAGAAAAAATATGATATATATTTGGGATTTTCTTTACAACTTGAACAAAAATGGGTACATGACATGTAAATTTTATATATTTTGGTCACAAATCAAACCAGTGGTATATCCTAGATGGCAGTTGGTTGGTTGTAGATGATTTAACATCTCCCAGATGGCGGACATTTGTGAACAGGGTGAATACTTGCTGTTGAGCCCCTCCCTACTTTTGGTAAATCTTTTTTCACTAGGTGTGTGGGCTTATTTACAGTCAAATACGGTAATCCCTTGCAACCTTGAAAGTGCATCAAGGTTATTCATTTGAACTCCTTTTATAGCTCTTCACACCAGCAGGCTTCTAGCAAATACCATATGAGCATATGTCTTTTCATTATTCTGAAGTTATTTATAGATTTTAACAGATTTGACCCTGTAACTTGAAATATTTAAGTCAAGGTCATTTCTATTCTGGCAGTCTTTGTAGCAATCAATTCCATAAAATGTTAACCGTTTAAAATATGACCCCTGTGATCTTGAATATATATCTGTTCACAAACTATCATTCTATGTATGTATAGAAAGAGTTACATCAAATATTTTATGCTGGTCACTAATTTGGAAGCATATTTATATTGTGACCCCTCCCCAACCACTCAGGTTCAATGATAGGAGACTAATAATAAAGTTTAAGCTGTAAACCTCTTGCTCCATTTCTTCCTTTTCCGATTCCACCATACAAGTATCCTCTTCCTGTGCTTGGCCCTCAACATTTTCTTTATCCCCTACTTCAGCTGGGTCATCTTTCAATTCAAACTGTTTACTGTCTGTTTTTATCCTCATTTTTATTCTGAAAGTTCAGGATATATACATTTAGAGAAATAACTTTGTGACTTAAGCATCCTGGATTTCAAAAGGCATTTGACAGAATGAGGATACATGTATACTTACGATTTCATCCAAAAATTCAAGGATTAGCTGTGTATCTGGTACTTATTTTTGCACTCTATCTAATACTGCAAAACTCAGGTAAAGGAAGTATACTTTAATTTCACATTGACAAATTTAGTTAAATGTCATCATAGCCAGGAATCAACACATCAAAAGCTGCTACACCTCCTTCCCTGCCACACTTTATCCTAATCGAAAAAGTCTCAATTCTTCAACAAAAGAGAATAAATATAGATATTGCTGCTGAATTGATCACGAGTATCCATATCATATTGAAGATACAAGCATCTAGAGAGTTAATCAAAATATTTTAGCAATATCTACAATACTTCAACATTTGGCTATACAGGTATCAGCTGTACTTAAACATTCCTGGAATTTTTGAAAACTTTAATAAAATCTTGCTTTGTTTCACAGAAAATACATTCAAATTACTAGATGTGATTTCATTTTCATGACACAGGATGAAGCACTTTAAGATTTGTTCTAATTATTAAGTAACATTCAGTTTCATTGATGGCTGTTTAATGAAATTCTACAAAAAACATGATATAGCAGAGAGATTTTGAGAAGACATTTTAAAAAAAAACCACATTTAACCTTTATTGTGAAATGTACCCCCTGAGGTGCTTCTCTGTATGATCTACCTCAGAGTGTTTAATTTAAAACAATAATGAACACAAATTTCCAACTCTCAAAACCAACAGAAGTATAATAATGAATAATGGCAAGAGTCATCAGTACAACATGAAACATTGGCGAGTACTTTTTATTGCAGCCATTTTTTTTAATTTTCAATCACGCCATTTTTTTTAAAATTTTCAATCACATATTAATAGTATATAAGCTTAATAAATATTCTTAGTTCCATTGAAATGATTAACCAAGTAAAATTTGAAAAGATTTATATTGCTAGTTTCTTGTTATCCAGCATAAAGTCTCCAAAACTCAATAAGCACATAAAATCTCTAGACAGAAAGTTATGTGTTTTTTTTTAATTATATTGTATAAGAATGGTATGTTTTACGCCATCATATGTTTCACGGGCCTCAAATAAAGGAGAAAGGAAAATATGTACACAGGGTAATATCAACATAATATTGCCTACGTATTGTATATGGCATACTGAAGATACGAACATTTTAAAACTGGTCAGCAAATTTTCATTTGTATGTCTCAGTTACTGTACAACTACATTAGATGTACTGATTCCTCTTTGTGAGACATGTATTGTGCAAAGTAGAAATGGATGAACAAAACAGAAAAAGAGCAGTTACTAAACTAGAACTGTAGGCCAAATACACCTTGCTCTCTCTATAAAGTTCAGAAAAGATCTTTCCATAGAATTACAGACGGAAATTATCAGAAAAGTCTCACAACTCCCACCAAAATGGGTGCAACTTCATATTATGAAGCTGATGTACACAAAGTTTCATAAATATCTATCAAGAAAGTAAGTACATTTCTTTGCAGCAGGAATTTTAACTACCCGGTATATAAGTTATAAAGGGAAATCAGAAAAGCTGCTTTACAAGATATGGCCAAAATCAAAAATAAACTGTAAAATAAAATACAAGTTACGTACATGTACCCATCTTAAACATAGGTCAAGAAGATAAGCAGCGTTACTTTGGAACATTTTTTTTTTTAAACTAGACTACTGACATAATTCTAAGAAAATTCCTTTAAATAATTTACAAGGGCACAACAAACTAAGGCCAAACAAATATCTTCAGTTTCTCTTAACACATTTTTAAAAAAAGAATGTGACACAGGCATTAAATAAGACCCAAATTACTATAGTTTGGTTTCAGACCCCCGGGGGCAACACCACCATTTTGTAAATCAAATATGCTGGCCAGTTATAATTAGCCCAAGTATACTTCAGTGCAACTTTGGGTATATCATTTTCTGTATGGAAGGTGTAGGATACTTTTATTTCCCCTATAAGTAACTACTGGGGCCCCAGAAACGCTTCACCCTCTGTTCACATATACAATAACAACTTCTCTTGACACAATAATTCTCCAGATCAATTAGTTTATTTAAAATCTACTTCATAGCCATTCTAGAAAAGATGAAAATAGACATACACAGGCCAAAAAAAGATGGTGATCCATGGCATAAATGAACTTGCTTTTCAAGAGCAGGGTGTGCTGAAAAATATGCAGCGGTGCCTGAGAAAAAAAAACCTCTTTTTTTGGCCCAAGGTTACCGGTAAACTTGCTTAAGTGTACCATGTTTCCTAAAAATTGGCTGAAAAGGTAAGCAGTGTTGTGCCTGCTAGATTTCTGTCCAGAGACTAATGTAGTGACACTCTGGTTCCAGTACACCCACCTAATATTCACTTTTATTTTGAGGATGCAGTGACAAATAGAATGAACAGAAGCCACAAAAACAGAGGTCTACTTACGTATGGAATTGCTATTGAAAGATGGATTTAATAGTTTGTTATCAAAAAATTCAGTTATAATTTATGTACAGTTATATTAATTATTGTTCAAGCATGCATATTATTTTCTTTTTTTTTGGTTAAGCAAATAATAAATTCTACAGTGGTACAATTATCACTGTCTTATTGCTCAGTGAAGCAAAAAAAAACACAATGTAATACTGAACTGTCAGTGCAGTTTTGTTCTTTTGTAAACAAATTTACTTATTATACTTTGAGAGATTTCTGCTCTGCAGATAAACATTCTCTCCTTACTATAAAAGTAAAGATACAGCTATCTGGCAAATACAATCTTCTAAAGTACAGAAAAAGATTTCCTATGTCCATAATTTCACTTACAGTAGACACGTCTCCGACCTTGATGTTCATGGGCTCTTCATCAAACACAAATGTGTCAGTCTGTGCTGGCTTGAAACCTGGGGGCTCATAATCTGCTGGTGTATCTGACACAACACAAAGGTTATGTAAAATTCAATATAATTGTCAATAACAGTTGTTAATTTTTAGAGTTTTAAAAGTTTGCAAATTTGTATTACATGTACTTACAGACTTATCAATCAGCATGGCAGTCTGCTGCTGTATTGGATATATGTGTTCAACTTTTTTATCATTCTTGAAAGCTAGTGTCATATTAAACAAACAACCCCACATGTACACTTTCTAGTCATACACTATTGCTCGGCTAAAGGGAAATTCACCCAACTGAAGCCAGTCATGTGAATTTTGACACTATGTACGATGCACATCCTTTACACATTCAGTCATTCAGAAAATGTTTTATCTTGAATAATACAAAAAGCACACATACATTTATTTTTTTATAAAAATCTTCCTTATACACAAACAAGGAATAAACATGTGGCAACATTTCAAGAACAATTATGCCCTCTGTCAAGTAATCAAAATGTGTTAACAATTTTGTCACATTGTTGTACAATTAAACAAGGAAAATTCTTCACTCATTCACAGCTCGACAAATTTTAAGAGACCAGTTGGTCTATAGAAACATTGCAACAAGTGCAACAAGTTTATATGTGATATATCCATTTTCTTTATAAGTTTATGTGTAGGTTTTTTGTGAATAAAGTAAGACTTTGATACAGGTAGTAAAATTGTATGTATTCATTCTCTGCGTGATGTATAGTTTTGTGTAATTATGTACAAAAGTATCAAATACATACAGTCATCATAATAGAGAAGCTTCATGGTCAGCATCACATCATCTGGTAAAGATTTCAGTGTCTGAGTCAATACAACCATTGTCCTCAAAAGCCTAATAGTAGCCTTCTTAGTCTCCAAAACCGAGTCTGTACTCGCTATTTTCTTTTCATTTCTGAAAATACAAATTTACTGCAATTACTATTCCTAGTATTGCATCCTATTTGTAACTGATAACCCCTTCATTCTAGCAAGCTGCAAAACACATAACAATAAAATGTCATGGTTTCGTAGAAAACATTTAAATTTAATTTTAACCCACAACTTGATGACAGTCGGCTAGGTTTTCAAATTATTTAAACAGACATTGATCTGCTCACAGCCATAGTCTTACCTGTAGACATCCATTTCTGCAGAGTTTTTGTATGAAAACTTGAAGGTGTAAGATTCAATGACTGTCTGTAAAGAGAATTTCATGAAAAATACTAAAGAATACGTTTTTTAAGAAAATGATCTTACTAATAAAAAGTTTCTTTTTTTAAACAATACAGTACATTTTCATAAATAGACAAAAAACAAAACAAAAAATCAAATAACTTTAATCAGGTAACAAACTTTTTACACTGATAGGCAAGACCATATTTGTTTATTTGCTTTTTAAAAAGTCCATAAAATAATCTGTGACATCAGGACACAATTTTTCTTGACAATTAAAAAAATGAAAAAATAAATAAATCTTAGAATATGTATATTTTTTCCTAAACTTACATCAGGATCTTCTGAGTCCAAATATATCTGAAAGATTGATAATCTGAGTTTAGAATTTCAAAAAATTATACTTGTACATATGGTTGCATTTTACTGACTAAACCATCCACTATATACAGTTACAGAATTATCAGGTTCGGCAACTGGAGAATAGCATTCATTCTTCATTAATCATAACAGGTTCAAGATTTTCATTGCCCGCATCCGAGTATCCTTGTTAAGTATGAACAATTAAAGTCCTAGTACCCGGTAATTCAAATGATTCAGAAAAACCTAAGTCAATCTGGAATAAAGGTTTCAATCTACTGGCCACCAATTGCTATGTGTTATTTACATGATGATGGTAGAGTTTATCGTTATTCATTATTATTATAATCAGGCCAAAAAAAAAAGGTGTCTGTTTAGGGTTCCCGACTGACCCTAACTTTTTACCCCTGACCCAAAACTTTTTGAAGATTTTTTTTCTTTTTTTTTCTTTTTAAACCAGATGATTTTCGAATATTAGAAGGTTCCTCTTTTTATAAAATGGCTTCCAGCTCCGTGTTGGCGCTAAATGTCATCATATGGAGCACAATTTGCCTCCAAATGAACCTTGTTTATGTAATTCTTTGTTTTACACACAATAGTAGGGTCATAATCACATGACCAAAAATATACAAAAAAAAAACAAAAATCAAAAAAAAAATCCGACCTACCTACCCTGCCCATGCAATCCTAAACAGACTATTTTTTTTTGGCCTCAGTTGAAGTTGAAATTTCGCAATTCGATTAATAAAAAGTGAAATGATACTTACCCCCATAATAAGCATTCTCAACTGAAAAAAAAATATCAATCTGCACAAACTCTTACAATAAACCATTTTTTAAATGCTAAGTTCATTCTGAACACAAATTAAACAGTCATTGAAAACTTACGAGCTTTTGATAAATCTAGTGTTTCCTTTGTCCTTTTAATTTGCATGCAGCCTATGCATCTGATGTTTTAATGTTTATCTATATAAAAATCCACTAACATTCTAACTTTTTTCCCATTTGTAAGATGCAGCAGTATACTAAGAGTGATGATCCAAGATGAAGTAATGAAAGATCCATGCTCTAGACAAGCATTTAAGTCATCGTAGTCAAAGGCCAAAATGAAAGTGACCTATTTTTTTTGACACCAAGATGTACCAGCATACCATTTTGAAATCTTGTACATATGTCTCTATGTTTTTACTGATTTAAACAATTTATAAACTTTCGTCTTAAGTATATATTTGTTTCTTAAAAGTACATTATTTCAATAGATCATTTTGGGTTGTCGGAATTGAATTATAACAGCATAAGAAATATATATACAGCTGTATATAAATATAAATGTATTAGCTTTATAGAGGTTCCCCAATGAGTGCTGGTTGTTTATCATGTTTTTCTAACTCAAATTAGTTAACTAACATATAATTATAGTAACTAGAGTTATATAAAGATGATAATCAACCATCATTAGTTTAGGGACTTTTTTCTCCCACAACATTCAGATAGTATATCTAGAAAATTTGTTTCATCTTACATATTTCTTGTCAACAGCATCAAAGCAGCCCTTGACCCACTTAATGACTTGGGAGGCACCTGGACAAGCACTGTCATCTCTCATAATTTTGAGATTTAAACCTGGCGGAAATAAAGTAAATTCAACTGAGATCACATTGCTTTAAGCAAACATTATTAATTATCTAAAATTTAAGAATCAACTATCTTCAACTTTCAAAAATCAAAGATGACCACCTAGTAGCCATCTTTTATATAAGAGACATCTCATAATTTTGGATGAAAACTGTATACAAGGAACAAGAACACTGACAGGTCAGCAAGAGCAAGGAACTCACTATGTGCCATGTGCCCCCCACTGACAGCCAGACACCATGGGGATTAATATAGGTCACCCGTATCTTTGATAAGTACAAGTGCACAACTTAAGAGTGGGGTGACCACATAAGTGAATTTCACAAAATCAGATATAATAAAAATCATAGGAGTCATCATCTTGACAAGACTCCATTTACAGACAGACAGCAGGATGCATATAGATCAAGGAGCACTCGTCCTCCCTAGAGCTACTCACATGCAACTCCACTATAATGTACAAGTGGCCTGGAGATCAATCAATTCAAACACAAAAACATGAACATGAAACACAGATAGTCGTTACAAAAAGAGAGAAACTTAGGTATACATTTGCTATTGAAGTAGTCGTCACAAAAAGAGAGAAACTTAGGTATACATTTGCTATTTAAAGTACTTAAACTAAAGTGCATAGAATTATATCTACCGGTATGCATATTTACCATCTTACCTTCAAGGCATCTATCGCCAAAAGCATGTTCTGGGAAAATTGCCCTCAGGTATGCAATATTGGAAATTGCAACTGCAAGCAGCTTCTTAACAAACAATGCTGATTGTTGTTCAGTAACTTGCTCATTTGGAAATATTGAAGACCACTGGAAATAACATGTTAACATTTATGATACTATAAATAGAAATACTGCAATAGTCTCGGCTTAAAAAACAGAACCTCTTCAAATATATTTATATATAAGATCTATATGGCTTCCTGGCTTTTATAAATAGAATAAATGGCATGGCGTTGGTGTTGCTGCTATTGATGAAAATTGGAAGTTCATGGCAAAACAAGATTAATGTTTCTTTGCAAACAGTGTTTATTGATATAAGAATCTCTCCTTAGCCTTTCGTAAGCAGTACACCCCAGCAGGTTGGAGATTGAGAAAAAAATACACCAGCTATTACCCACAGCATATTTCATAAGAGGCGACTAATGAGGGAACCCCCTGCAGAATTAGGGATTTACTTTTGCGCTCTCTACTCGGGGACACAAAAGCGATCAAAATACATATGCTGCCCCCATTGCAATACTTAATATTTCTCTCTACTTCTAACAACCTTTTATTTCCAAGCGCCTTATCAATATTTCCTAGCGCCTCGCTTGGCAATACCTCACTTTTGGCTTTAATGTTGAAAGTTTGCCCAGATGTGAAGAAGGCAATGGGTTCTGTCCCCGGGCCGGGACATACCACATACCAAAGTCCTTAAATATGGTAGTTGTTATCCCCTGCTTAACATTTAGCATTTGGAGAACTGACAACAACTGGTTCACCTGTTGTCAGTATAATGTGACTGGGCAGAATGCTGTGCTGGGGGCCTTCAGCATGGTATTTCAGGGAGATAGCACTCTAAAGTCGGCATCAGATCCGCACTATCACAAGGAGGCAACAACACCAATATACCCTGTCTCTGTCACACATACACGCATGCACTTACACAACACATGTGAAGGTACTTCCTGAAATGACCTTTGCTGTTAATAGGACAATAAACAATATAAAACCAAACCAAACCAAATCGTAAGTGGTAAAAAAAATTGCTAGGAAATATTGACTGGCCTTATTTGCATTCAACACTTTTGTAGTTTGACAGACTACAAAAATGACCAGGTTATCACAGTTTTTTCAGGTATGAGTTTTTGGGCATGCCAAAAAGTGTATTAAGCAAAACTGCAGATTTATGCGTGGTTTTTAATCAGTGATAAATGCTAACGTTTTCTAGACCCAACTTGTGTCAGTTTACAGAAGATGGCCAAACGTCTAAGTCTTATATATCCGCATATGACTAATGTATCCTGGTGATATCGGTTTCTTCACACTTAGGGAACAGCAACGATTTCATACTAAGAAAACTGTTGAAGTTATGGATAACTGTCATAGTCATGTACACAATCTACTAATGGAAACAAAAATCTAGCAACATAAAACTGCATTTTAAATCAGAGCATTTTTTTACAAATTTCTCTCGTCAGAAGTAGCCGTCATATGTTTCTGTGTGTCTATTTTGATTTAAAGTGTTCAAAGATACCTCAAATACACTGACAAGAAATTATCCACAGTGGCCAGAACAAAAAAATGTTTCGTTTGGTATAAAAAAAAAAAAATTAATCGTCAAATTGATTATCAAAACATTTTTTTTCCAATTTTACATTTTTCATTGATTTTTCAATATGTCAGCTTGAACGAAAGCTTGGTAGTCCACAGGACTAATTAAATAGATTATTGACAAGTCCTACATCAATGTACGTTATGTAACAAGTCCAGGATTTTCTGATAAGGAAACATCGCGATCTACAGAACGAAACATCAAAAGTAATTATAATTGACTGATCGATAAGGGGACTTAAATAATTACTGTCATAAACTATGTTGAAGTTTTAGGAAAATTTTGACAATTATCATGCAAATTATCTCATTTTAAGCAGTTTTCTGAATTTTAAAAAGAATTTCTTATTTTATAATCATATTTTTCACAAGTCCAAGGTTAGGTTAGGTGATTCTCTAGTCCTTTCTGAAATCTACTATTCCAGGACTAGTGGACTAGTGTCAGTGTCGACCCCTGGAATCTGTTTTGGTTTTTTTGTGTGCAGACTTGTAACGGTTTTGGTTGATGGCAAGTTAGTTCACATTTTATTTTGTTTAGAATTGGAAGTTCATTGCATAACAAGGTTCACATTTCATTGCAAACAGTGTTTATTGATATCAGAATGTCCTTCGCTCTTCGGAAATTGAAAAAAATTGGGGAGAAGATGTGGCCTTGTAGTAACAGCTTGATAAAATGACTGTGAGGAAATATATAAAGTGTAGAAACCAGTATGACTAGGCAATATCTATAATTACAGTGTAAAATGCATGTATTTCACCAACCGTATTAGTTTTCTCCTGGGGTCTCTGTAGAGTGGCTGTGCATGCCATAGTGTATCTTGAATAATAGACAAGGATATCTGAAACTGAAATTTAGAAATTAAAAAAATGTAGATCTATACATGAATGTATAAATAAAAGAAGTAGACATGAGTACCACAGGAATGGAACAGTCTAAACCTTAGACCAAGTTTAATTACTCTGGCCCTGACACCAGACCTTTTGACAGTTGATGGCTGGTGTCGATCTATCAAAATGGGATGTCAGGGCCGGAGAGACAGTCGAATAATATCAAGTCCGTGATAGATCTCATCAGGTTATTAAACCAACATTTGAAATATCGAGTCAAAACATGAATAAATTTAAGGATGAATAAGTTTAAAGTATCTTAAAGACGTCCCTATCATTGACTTCGGTAGTGTTTACCTGTCTTCTTTCCTCTTTGACTTGTGCAGACGACAATCCCACAATGCTATTCACGTAAGTGCGCGTGAAGAAGTCTTGTGCAGAAAAACGCTTGTAACAAACATTAACGCTTTCTTCGTTATTTTATTATAAGATATTATTCAATCGAAATCTATAATAAAAGCATACAAGTGTTTGTGTTATTAATTTTAAATATCGCGCGGTTTCAACGTTTAATCGGCGCAGTTCTTCATTATTGAATCCGTCAAACGCTTTAAAGACCCTGAGCAGAGAGCTCCGACGACTTGCGCAGAACTGTTGCTAGCAACAACAACTAACACATCCGGTAGAGAGGATTTTGACTTGCTCCAAGAAACGGTGAGTTTATTATCAGCATTTTGTGTGAATTATGAATGAATAATGTAATAAAAACGTACAATTTTGTTGTTATATAGTAATTAATTTGATAAAACAACAGTTTATATTGATAATGGAGTTCAAATATTGAATTGCTATCATTCTCTTCATCTGTCACAGATTGAAGTCTAACTGAGAAATCCGACTTTTGTTCAGCATTACCAGTACAGATATATTTATTTCATATTGCATGAAACTATTTTAAAAGACGTTCTCTCTACACCCAAGTATTTCTATGTTGTTACTATCATGAATAGCTGAGACCCTGGAGACAGGAGTCTTGTTCTTGAATCTTGTTCCCTGGTTTTGCATCAGACTATCACTACTGTAGTGTCAGAAGAAGCCTACCAATAGGGTGTTTATTTTACACATGACTATTCCAGTAAATAGCTCAAAGGACAATCCCAGTTTGAAAGAGCAGTTTCAAACACATTACTAGAATACAGTTCTGATCAAAAATTACTGCAGCATGAAGACATGACTATACAACAGCTAAGAAAAGAAAGAAACAGAGAAAATTTTAATTTACCAAAAAAATGGTCTTAAAACTGCATTTCTGGCACACATGGAGGCTCAGGATCACCAGCTGATTTAGTGGGGGTGTTTTTGTCAAATTGTGTTCCTGATCCTGTCCATTTGCTAGCCAGTCTGACTAATATATATGTATGTGATGTTTTGTTTTAATTTGTGACATCCAGTGTAAAATAACTGGATAAGGATCAAAATCTGACAGAGACCTTCATACGTGGAACTTTCATCTCATCACACCAGTGAGAAACTTCTGAAACATATAACTGTTCTGTAATGTGTGACTGTGACTGTTTTTACCTTTCATGCAAGAATAGCAATTCTCACATTCCACAGCTACTTAGCGAAATTGTGAGCATGATTTGTACTGTAGCTGCAATTACTAGCTTCTGATGACGAGACATTATTTTATATATATATTTCATTGTCAAAACTACGAAGCGGTCCTCTAGCAACTCATGGAGCAAAACTAAAAGTGTTCAGTCTGTAAGAGTACATACAGTTAACACTGCAGATGGGTATAACGTTTATATCAAAATAATGCAAAATTGTTTAAATAAAGAATCCTTACTAAAAACATAACTCTTTCACAAATTTTGTCAAGTTATTCTGGAAAAAAAAGGAAACGACTGCTATGACAGATCACACGTTATGTTATCACAATTATCTGTTTCTATATATGACCTGCATGGCCAAATATGGTATTACTACTGATGCCGCAATGTTAACTACAAATTCCATATTGGGTCATGACACTCATAGATGTCTCCATTACGAGGCATTGACCAGTTTTATACTTGGCCTGGGCAGAGGAAGCCAAGTATTAATATTAGTACTAGATTTGTACAACATAATGTAGTAACAACATGTTGCATACATGTAGTCCTTCAGGTTTTGTCTGTAGCAGAGATGATTATGAATATGCATCTCAAGATAGAATAATGAAGGTCTTATGATGGTGGTTATCAAAAACCATCTTGGATATATGTTGTTTTTCATAAGGGGCTACAGTACGTGTTATGGATGTGTAGTATTGAAGTTTGCTATTTCCTGATACAATGTATCAGTTTTAAGTTAAAGCTTAAAGTATCATATATATCTGATTATCAACTTTCTATAATATTACATAAAATACTATCGGTTTTAATAATTAATTTCTAGCCCTGCAGTTTGATATTTCACAAATTTTGATGCTTTATATGCTGATGTTCTAACACTAGCAAAAACCTGTTAAAGCTTTAAAAATGCAAGTAATCTGTTTATTCATCTCAATAAGGTATATTATTTTTCTTTTCTCCATAGGAAAACAGCAAACATGCCTACCAATCCAGATGAGCCCTATTACTGTTCACAACAAATCAACATCCCTCCATCTCTACCTGACATTCTAAAACAGTTCACCAAGGCAGCCATACGCACACAGCCCAAGGATGTCCTTGCTTGGTCAGCAGCGTAAGTATAAAACCGACAGACAGTTTCAGGTTTTAGCACATTGATGACTTAACTGTTTAGTCTATAGATACAACTGTAATACATTTTTTCAAGTAATTTAGCATTGGGTTTAGGCCGGAGTACAAAACTTAGTTCACTGGCCCAACCCGAAAAAAGTTGAAATCCAAGGGCAGGTTATTTTAAAACAAGAAAAATAGCACAGGTTTAACTTTCTGTATACAGCTCTGATGTCAAATTGTTATTATAATCAGCCAACCATTTTCCACCATACATGAAAATTAGTTTTTTGCACACATCATTTATATCGATAACATTTATAAAGAAAAAAGGTGTTTTCAAAAGTTCTTTTCTGTGGGTTTCAGTTATTTCAGAGCCATGTCCAAGGGAGAAACCCCACCTGTGAAGGAACGTCTAGAAATGCCAGTCGCCACACAAAAGACGGATACAGGATTGACTCCAGGTCTTCTCAGAGTTTTGAACAAACAGGTGAATAGAGAAATACTGACAGCCCACCTAGAATTATATGAGATATTGTTCCAGATTTAAAAAGCATTTGTTTGAAATTAGGAAAATACATCAGTACTGAAAACTAGGTTAGTCGAGGTAGAGGGAGTAATATGCTGATTTTTTGATTTTTTTTAAACTTGCACCCAGGAGATTCTTTTGACTTTTTTGTGAGATTGAACAAAATTTGACACAAATTGTTAACATGTCTTCATTTTATCACACATAGAGCTGTGTGATCTAAGGGAGATAATAGATTATTGATTGATCTTAAAGGTTTGATAATTGATCTTGAATATTGATTGATACCAAGCACTAGTGTACATGTACCGCGGTAAAAGTATCTGAGGTGCAAATTACATCGTATAAGAGTGAGGGAATCGTCTACTGTAGGCACACCAACTTCAGTTGAAGCTGTAGAATGTATACTTTACTAGTAAAAAACTGTAACATGTAGTACTTTTGGTAAGTGGCACCGATTTGTTTAGTGGAACACAAGAAGATCACATGTTTGGGTGAAATGAGTAAAGATTACAAACATACATGTACTTGTACGCAGTGAAGCAGGCCCAAATCACATTTTTGCAGATAAAATGTATTAAGTTTTTCATTAACCCTTTTACCACTGTAGACCATACTGGACTCGTCCAGATCAATGAATGGTAGAGTCTACTGTCTACTAAAGTTCCCTAGGGGTGAAAGGGTTAAAGTGCATCAATGAATTGATTGATTCTCATGTAAAACTGATGCAAACAAAATGGAAATAACAAACTAGTTTGGGACATTGAAGACACATTGATCTTTTTTCTTATCAACCATCTGGCACACTTACATGTATGCCATATTCAGCCTTGTTAGCTTCTTGCAGCTGGGTGGCTACAAATTTGGGACAATTATTATACTTCCAAAATTCTCCATAATAGCTATAAAAGACACTATTTCAAGTAAAGTATTTAAATTAAAGTAAAGAGTATGGGACACTAAGACCTGAAAAGGATCTAGGGGGTTCTCAACATGGATGATGTGCCTATATTAGATTGAATACAGTTCACAGTCACATTTTCAACTTTCATCATGAGGTGAAATTTGTACAGTTATCTCCCTTAGATCACTCAGCTCTGTGGGAACAAATAATGAAAGATTTTCATATCTCCAAAGAAGACATATATTGAAAAAGTATTGAAGATATATATATATCATTGGATATCAGTATGTGATTTCTTAAAAAATGTTGCGTAATAATTATATCAATCTTTTCCTAGACAGTCTGCTCCTTACAATGAATTCTGGCTTATGATTTATGAACCTTCGAAACAAACTGTATTTACATTTCTGTAAACTGTATTTGCCATTCATTGAAATCTGTTTTAAAAAGAAGCATGTTTTTTAGAAAAAAAAGTCTGTGCACCGAGATTTGTTTGGTTGTATATATAGGGTTTAGCATTTCTTGGAACAGCTAAGGTCATTCGAAAATGGGTGCCTAAGGAAACACTATCAACAAGAAAGGAAATGATAAAATATCAATCCTTAATTGCATGTTGTAACTGGGCAGGCCAGCAGATCAGTTCTGGTTTCTTCAGTGTCACCTTAGCAGAAGACACAGAAATACCCTCCATTCCTACATAGTGTCCCTCCAACATGTAGTGGGATACAGCGGGCCAATTCTTTACTCCTACTAGCAGCAGTTTAGAGACTTAGAGTAGAGTTTACTGTGAAACAAGAAGGAAACATCAGGGTTGGATTTTGATGTCATTTAAGGCAGATGTTACCCATCACATTTGTCCTTTACAAATATGATATACAGGATTTCTTCATTTCTTTATGAAAAAACCCAGTTAAATCTCATCTCAATGGAATTTTTAATCTTGATTCACAATAATGAAAAATATCAAAATGTTTATCTTATTCTGTGACATATGACTGGTTTCATCAATATTGCTGTATATAAACATGTTTTAGAGATCTATATTATAATTTCAGGGGTTTTTCGCACTCTAAATATTGTGCTAAAATATGACTGTGCTAATTTAAGTTTCTGTATTTAAAGTCTGATTGCATATGTTGCGAATGTGCCAATTCATCAATGTGCTTATCTGTCAAAATGTAATAATACACTTAAATTTGAGCCCGCTAAAATGAGTTTTTTTACAGTCTCTTAATACTTTTTCAAATTTAGATGGAACAAACCCTAAGAATGATTAACACAATCTTTTGTTAAGGCGCTACTAGGAAAAAAACTTTTCATTATCTAGACTGAAAATATTAGCACAGATCTAGATACCTTGATTTCCTGTAATTATACATAACACATAGCAATACATATTTTTTATTAACACTTTGATAAAATTCTATTTCAAAATCCCTAGATAGCTGACATATTACTGTACAATATACATGTCACTGTCAATTATAATATTACCAGAATAACAGCTGATTTTTTTTGGCATTTGAGGTGAACAATTTTATGTTGGATAGCCAGATACATACCCATGATGGTATAATAAATATTGGCCTGTCATCTAAAAATCAAAGTGCAAATCATGTAGAAGCAGGGAAATCATATTAAAGTAATTAGATTTACTGTATAGAATTTGTATATATAATTTTCCATACAATTGAATGCATTATGTTTTCCTGTCTTACAGCTGGGTCCCAAGAAGATGGTCCCTCTGAGTGTGGTGGAAGAAAAATGGCAGGATGTAGCACTTCCCAAAGAGCAGTTCGATGAGATCGTTAGAATTGGCAGCTTTGGTGGTGATGTAGAATGGAACAAATTCTTCACATTGGCTTGTTCAGCATTAGGGGAGGTAACTCACTTACTTGGCCTATTCTCTAGTAATTAGGTTTCACAGAAAGCTCTCCTAGTCGTTGATGTGCCTGGGTAATGGCTAAGGCTGGATATGTTTGTAGTGGGCCAGCAGGGTTCCGTCAGAGTAATGCTGTTATTGTATACCATATACCATGCAGTGATATAACCCTTTATTTGCAAATAATATAGATCTAACTCTGATCATGTGTTATTTATTTCCTTATTGTAAAATTGAAATTGCATGAAAAAAATGAAACCTATTAGAAATTTACAGTAGTCTTTTTTATCCAACTATATCAAAAACTGATGGTTTTTACGGTGATTTTTGGGATATCTTTTGGGCTGTATTTGGTATTTTCAGCAGCTGTGAAATACATGTATCATAAAAATGATCACAGCATTTTTTACCAAGTCTTCATGAATCTATTTTATCAGAAACAAATATTCTATAAATTCTGTAGTAATTGCATTGACAACATTTTGAAGTGGAAAGTTAAAAAAATTACATAATTTGGTAATTTGGTGAAAATAATGACAATATTTTTCAAATTAAAAAGGCACAGTTGAAAAAAAGAAAAAGAAAAAAAAGAAAAATGTCCATCAAAAGTCTAGATAAGTGGGAAGACCAGAACAGTATGAGTTCTCTGATGACTAGCTATATAGATTAACATAATAACAAACTTTAATGTTAATAAGGGTTCTGATTATAAACTTACAATCTTCACTTGTCTGTGAAGCCATAGATAAAAATAATAGATATGTCTGGTGGTACCTTAAACCGGAGTAGTTTCTTATATTTCATGTTTATTGAAATTAGGAAGTCCAAATGAAATGGGAACATTATAATGTGAAGTCCACATGAAGTATATGTATTACTTTGGGAACACTATAATCTGAAATACATGTATGATATTGGGAACATTTATGAAATCCACTAAAGTTTATAAGAGTACATTAATTTTGACTCAGACAGATATAGAGCTCTCACACAGAATGTAAAGCAAAGTCATGACAATCCCCTTCTCAACCCCACACTACCACGAATGTTTATAGTACAAATCAATTGATTCCTAGGAAACGTTGATCTGCAAAGCTAAAAGGAAGTCGTAGAAAAGAAATATGTTTTTTGTCTGAATCTTAGATTCCATTGTCAACCATCATCATGCTTTAGACTTTAATCAGCGTCAAAGCAAACTTCACCATCGTGTATGGTTTTTTTAAATGCAGCACACAATAATAGCATGCCTTGTCAGCAAGCAGGTTTTATTAACAGCTAATATTTATCCTTCATCCTACTTCAAACTTTAATCAGTGTTGGAGCAAACTTTGCCCGTTGAGTATGGTCTTTGCATTGTGATATGTAGATGATCATGAGAACATGCCTTGTTAGCAAGCAGGATTAGTTAAACAACTAGTGTTCTCCATTCTTTCTGGTGGCTTTGGAGCAAAGTATGTATTGGCGTAATCAATGCCACTTCAGGATTCTCATACCACTGCTGAAAACTGTAACTAACTTAGTCCAGCCAGAAAAACAGTTTCCAACACTTAGTAACTAACATAGTCAAGCCAGAAAAACAGTTTCCAACACTTGGTTACTAAGTGTTGCTAAGTGTTGGAAACTGTTTTTCTGGCTTGACTATAAGTTAGTTACTAAGTGTTGTGAAGTGTTGGAAACTGTTTTTCTGGCTTGACTATAAGTTAGTTACTAAGTGTTGCTAAGTGTTGGAAACTGTTTTTCTGGCTTGACTAAGTTAGTTACTAAGTGTTGCTAAGTGTTGGAAACTGTTTTTCTGGCTTGACTATAAGTTAGTTACTAAGTGTTGCTAAGTGTTGGAAACTGTTTTTCTGGCTTGACTATAAGTTAGTTACTAAGTGTTGCTAAGTGTTGGAAACTGTTTTTCTGGCTTGACTAAGTTAGTTACTAAGTGTTGCTAAGTGTTGGAAACTGTTTTTCTGGCTTGACTATAAGTTAGTTACTAAGTGTTGCTAAGTGTTGGAAACTGTTTTTCTGGCTTGACTAAGTTAGTTACTAAGTGTTGCTAAGTGTTGGAAACTGTTTTTCTGGCTTGACTATAAGTTAGTTACTAAGTGTTGCTAAGTGTTGGAAACTGTTTTTCTGGCTTGACTAAGTTAGTTACTAAGTGTTGCTAAGTGTTGGAAACTGTTTTTCTGGCTTGACTATAAGTTAGTTACTAAGTGTTGCTAAGTGTTGGAAACTGTTTTTCTGGCTTGACTAAGTTAGTTACTAAGTGTTGCTAAGTGTAGGACACTGTTATTTTCTGGCTTGACTATAAGTTAGTTACTAAGTGTTGCTAAGTGTAGGACACTGTTATTTTCTGGCTTGACTAAGTTAGTTACTAAGTGTTGCTAAGTGTAGGACACTGTTATTTTCTGGCTTGACTATAGCTTAGATCAATCATTTCTGAAAAGAACACTTTAACTTGTGGGGTAACTTTCATCACTCGTGACAATCCTGCTCAGAGTTTTGGTAAAAAAATATATAACCCACAATGCTTTGCAACATCATCTTTCATTCTGATGTCATGATCATGATTCATGGCAATTGCATCCCAATTGGAGCAGAAATTTATGTATTTCCCAAGGGAAAGTTGTGGTTTTCCAGATAGAATATGAGTGTTATGGGAGAAAGCTATCCCCAAACTTATCTAACTCTCATTATTGAATTTCAAATTGTAAAATACACTGAGTAAACCTCATGTCTGTGTACAATTTGAAAATTAATTCTAGTTCAATAATCATGATTACCAATCACCACTTATTGGGAACCACTATCTTTAAGTGTAAAACAATTTAAAGGGGAATAGAATGGAAATGTAACACCTCCTACCAGAAACTGACAGACAGAAAGACAGACATTCTATATTTCTTCTTACATAAAAGATTAAACATTTAGACAAATTTCAATATTTACAACATTTAGAGAAAAGTCAAGAGCAGTTTGATGTTTCTGGTAATTGCTACCATAAAAACGTTCCATTCATCATCCTGCAGCAACACTTTTATCCAATCTCCCTGAAGAAAAAATTGGCTTGATCAATCTCCTCCAAGAACGAAATGTCAACATATGAATGCACTTATAGTGTCCACAATTTTTTTCAAAAGCACATCTCTAATCTCATATATTGCGGGACATTCAATAATAAAATGAGTAACAATATCATTACTTTTCTTTGTGCACAATTTACAGATACCTTCACTCTCATTCCACTCTTCCCAGGTAATTGATAACTTTAAATTTAGCAGATGCTCAAGGTCCCCTGTGAACTGTCCAAACATTTTGCTTAAATGTAGTAATGGTTTAGGACCATTTGTCTTAAATTCAACAGTTACAGTAAATGTTTCCAAACTTAAAGTTTCTTACTTTAATACTGATCTTTCATTTTTCGGGGGTGAATTTAATTCTGGTTATTGAGAAGGCTTCAACATTGATGTATGACTGGAGGTCTGAGGCCCCTAAAATTTAGGAGGGGCTTGCTAATTTGTAGTATTGATGGCCCACCAGGCCCCGGCTCGTTAACTTCAGGAGGGGCTGCTGTTTCGTAACCATTGATGGCCCATCAGGCCCCAGCCACTTAAATTCCTGAGAGCCTGCTGTTTTTTAGTCATTGATGGCCCGTCATCAGGCCCAAGCATTTTTATGTATGATGTTTCAAATTTTGGACATGGTCAGCAGCCATTTCTGGCATTGTGTGAAATGAAAGAATTTTTCTGGCAGAAAAATTATATTATAAAATATTAAAAAAAATGCAACATAATTAAAATTAAATGCACCACAGCTGCTTCAAAATTTTGAAATCTTCCAGGGTGTGTGCCTCCAGCCCCTCTTGCTTTACTTCATGCACTAGCACTCTCATTTGACAGACACGGGCTGTGCCCAAGAATTAATCATGTTCATCAGGGCCCTCAGATTTTGAGAAGGGCCAATATTTTCCCAGAGGAGCCCTGTTGTCTCCCTCCATTATTAAGTTTTGTGAACTGTTGACTGAGATGGAAACAACCAGGATTCAGTAAAAAAAAATGACATTAATCTATGCACCAAGAGACACTCCAATCATCGTCAACTCATACCATTTCTGGAATTTGTTTGTTTGTCTGGAGCAGCAGTTGGTGACATAGATTGATCACATTCGATGGAATTAACTCGGCAAAGATAAAAATTTGCAATCTCATCAGATCTCATTGCGACCACGTTTAATGTTCCGTGTTACTGCCGAATTCATGATTTGATGTCGTACATTTTAATTCTGCAATAAAAGTCGTGTTAACTGTTTCATTATCAATATACTTTAGGCTTTTGCTGGGCAATCAACCTTTCCGAACATGCTGTAATGATAGAAATAGGACTCTCGTGCACTTGTGACGGTTCTTGCATTTTGTCAATTGACGTTTATAGATTGATGCTATTCATCCTTAGTCGAGGTCGTCGCGACACAGAATTTTCTGCACTTAAACCAAATTCTCAACTTGTATAGCTTCCAGAGTTCATTATAGTCATGAAATGTTGGGTGCGCAATCAATTTGAAATTTTCACATTAACCCATTCACCCCTGAAGACAGATTTGAACTCTTCCAATTCAAAGGTTGGAATAGTTTATTTCAAAATGTTAGGGGTGAATCAGGTAAATGTTGTACAAACTACCGTGTGTATATATATATAGCTACTAAACTGGACCAAGATTTTTATAAACAGCCTGCTTTATAAAGTGGTATTTTCTATACAGATGAAAATTAATATAATCAAACCCTTATTTTTTATACATTTGAAATAATGCATCTCCATTAACTTAAAAATTATATTTAAATACTTGTATTTTACACCAGGTTTAATTTCGAAATATCCATGCATGAATCAGCCCATCATAATTAAATATCATGTTGTTTATAATTGATAGATTGTAAGTGCAGGTCTAAGCTCATCAGTAACAGGAAATGTACAAATTATAGCACTTTATCAAATATAAAAAGGTTGCGGTATTGATGAATTGGTTCATTTGTTATAGAAAATAACAAGTGTATACAGAAATTTCATTTAGCACATATTTTTGTGCAAAAAGTGAAGAAAAATAAATCAGGTCACCCTTAAAACATGAACGTTTACAGAATGAATGGATAAGTACGATTAGGGAATATCAATTTGTTTGAATTGATCACAAAAGTTCAAGCCACAGGTGTCTAAACAATAGACTGATATGACATCAGAGATATATACAATGGTGTTTGTAACATGAGTACTGTACATGTATATAATGTGTTGAATTTTAAAATTTGCATATATACACGAATTGTTTTATTTTAAGTATTTTTTTCTAAGTTGCACAATATGATGAAATGGCTGGGTGCTTATTAGAACCAAAATGGTACATCAAATCAGGAGGTTATTAGAACCAATATGGTACATCAAATCAGGAGGTTATTAGTATGGTACATCAAATCAGGAGGTTATTAGAACCAATATGGTACATCAAATCAGGAGGTTATTAGAACCAATATGGTACATCAAATCAGGAGGTTATTAGAACCAATATGGTACATCAAATCAGGAGGTTATTAGAACCAATATGGTACATCAAATCAGGAGGTTATTAGAACCAATATGGTACATCAAATCAGGAGGTTATTAGAACCAATATGGTACATCAAATCAGGAGGTTATTAGAACCAATATGGTACATCAAATCAGGAGGTTATTAGAACCAATATGGTACATCAAATCAGGAGGTTATTAGAACCAATATGGTACATCAAATCAGGAGGTTATTAGAACCAATATGGTACATCAAATCAGGAGGTTATTAGAACCAATATGGTACATCAAATCAGGAGGTTATTAGAACCAATATGGTACATCAAATCAGGAGGTTATTAGAACCAATATGGTACATCAAATCAGGAGGTTATTAGAACCAATATGGTACATCAAATCAGGAGGTTATTAGAACCAATATGGTACATCAAATCAGGAGGTTATTAGAATGGTACATCAAATCAGGAGGCTATTAGACCCAATATGGTACATCAAATCAGGAGGTTATTAGAATGGTACATCAAATCAGGAGGTTATTAGAACCAATATGGTACATCAAATCAGGAGGCTTTTCATCCAATTACCACATACTAATCCATCACCACACCATCCCAAAGTGTAGTAATGAAAAAGTTGTCATTGAAGCAGTAAATTTAATTTGCTTCAATCTGCATATTTTTGTAGTCACCAGACATCCATGTGCAATAGTATAGCATACACCCAGTTTTAGAGGGACCAGAATGAGTTGTATCAGGCATCGTTAGATAATGATACAGTACATTTAATGTTATTTGTCAGAAACTGTTTTCCTTTTTGATATTATAATTAAAGTTTACACATCTACTTCAAGAAGTAGAAGTAGAAGTTATATTTTCACCGTGTGATACAATATCATGTTTGGCATTGACCAATCAGTACAGGACTTTCTATTCACTTCATTCACAGCCGCAGATTTTCTGTTCTGAGATACAGATGAAGTGGCAGTAGAATAAATTGTTTTGGTAAATCTTTGCTTCATACACTGAAGTATCTATTTATCTACAAAATTGATACCAAATCTGACCAAGTAGTAGAAGAAAACAGTAGAATGGTGGCGACATCATAGTAGCCTTTTCAAAATGCTGCGCTGGCTTGTTGGCAAGTGTGACGTCATTAGAATACTGCAGCTAAGGTTACACTGTTATACCCCCGGGAGCTGGTTGATACGGTACCATTTTTGCTGATGTTGGTAGTATGAAAATATGATAAACAGAATATTTTGATATTTTCCTGTTGAATATCATACATTTCACTTATGGAAGGATAAGCCAATTTTTTTTCACTCACGGTTTGAACCAGTGAATACTATTGGTTAATTCTGCCTTTCTCATGAAATAATATATATGTGTTTTCAACAGGAAACCATTAAATATTTTTGTATTTACATTTCGAAAAACAAATATTTTGTAAATGTTTCTATAATTCCAGCTTGTTAATGTTAAAACCTCCATTCTGTGTGTTCCTTGTACTACAGCTCTTTGTTAAGAGATGTTTCTGATCCTTTGTTATCTAGCAGTAAAAAAAAGATCACATGTGTAGAAAATAGTGTCAATTACATTGCCTTTTAACAATTAGTTCTACCTAATGCTTAAACCATCTGCATGTAGTAGTGTGTTGATTTAAGAGAATGTTCCTCAGCAGAAAAGTGTTATGGTGTATTTTCTGTTACGGTAGAACTTGAGTACGCAGGGCTTTTCTCCTCAGTATGAATGGTTCCTACATTTTCAACTTTTTAGCAGAATGTTTTAAGTGGCGGAGTGATGCAATTTATCTTCGTTGAAAAAAAATAGTGAAATAACCAGGAAGGTCCCTGTTAATCTTCTCTACCATATGCAAAGTTCCTTTCAAATGCCAGCTCAAGCTGACTAAGATATCTGCAAAATGTTAAGGATTCCGGTCCCACTGTACTGTGGTTTTTTCCTATAAGCAGTTACCACCCCTAAAAATCCGTTTGGCTATAACTGTAGAACAATTAAGCTGGGACACTTTCACCAAATAGGTATCTAGCTCAATCAGTTCAAGCGATAATTAGCAGTCTGAAGTTCAGGGTTCAAGCTCTGGTATAGCCAACATTTATGTTTTTACATTCATATAACTCTTTTTTTTTTTTTTTCTCATTTGTTCCATTTTCATAATTTTTTCATGAAAGTCCGGCAAGGTATGTTTTTCTTATCAGATATGATATATTAAAGCTAAAGTCAAGCCAGAAAAACAGTTTCCAACACTTAGTTACCGTTTCCAACACTTAGTTACAGTTTCCAACACTTAGTTACAGTTTCCAACACTTAGATACAGTTTCCAACACTTAGTTAGTTTCCAACACTTAGATACAGTTTCCAACACTTAGTTACAGTTTCCAACACTTAGTTACAGTTTTTGGCAGTGGTACGGGGATCCTTAATATAACGTTTGTTATTCCCAAGTTCTGTTGACTCTTGGTGTCGGAGCACTAGGGTACCTGTTTTTAGTAAACTAAATATGTTTTTTGATATATATTTCAGAACCTGACAGATGCGTTGAAGCTCGTGTGCGAGATTCTGACAGCAGATCCTGAGGGCGGCCCTGCCCGGATACCTTTCCCCCTGTTCAAAGAGTTATACACATACCTTGCACAAATTGATGGGGACATTTCACAGGGACACATAGACGATACCATCTCCCACCTCAAATACGATGTGTAAGTGATTTCTCATTAGTTTGTCTGTATATATAATGGAACCAAGGATGAATGTCACATTTTATCCATCGCTCTCCTATGTTCTCTGCACCCCTGGAATATGTGATGACAAGGTACACCTTTAGCTCTTTGATTGGTTTTAGGTAAAAACTAGGCTGATAACCATCCTTCAAAGATTACAAAGAGTGACATCTAACTACAAAGTTGATAATTTTACCATTAAAATGCTGCATGATTCTTTTGATGTACATTAACTCATTCACCCCTGAAGACACATTTGAACTCTTCTAATTCAAAAGTAGGAATAGTTCATTATGGAGTTTAAGGGGTGAAAATGAGTTAAAGAAACAGACTAATATATTAACTAGTCTTCTCATACCATTCACAAGGTGAGAACACAGAGCCTTTGTTTTCATAATGGCATCTTACAGGAGTACAGAGTATGTACATGAATGTAACGCCTCACATTTCATGGTAAATAATTTAACGGTACACAATAAATGATATGATAAAAATATAACATTTACTGTTGTTTACTTTTAAATTATTTACATTGGTGTAAATTAGATTCCTAAATAAGAATTGGTAGGACTTTCTGTTTATCCAACAAGATTTAAGTTATTTTCAAGACACCATGTTTACAAAGTCATGTTTATTTTCTCTCAATTAATTAATTAACAATATAACCTGAGGACTTTGATAACCGGTTTCTCCAGTAACTTGTTGAGAAAACCATTTTTTCGCTTTGAAGTACATGTTTCCAGTCTTCTTTGGACTGATCACATCACAGTGACATTATGTGGTCACAATCTATCGCTTCGTAATGTCATTACCAGTGTATTAATCAATGGAACAGTGTTTATGGTATTACCCACATATAGGTAACAAACACGATGCACTAAAGCAGTATGAAGATCTCCTGCATGGCTCTGGTTTGAAGAGACAGTGTAAAGAACATGATGTTTCACTGAAAAAGTTATCTTTGCAGAATCTACAGTACATATATTCCTATGATAATTAAAATACAAATTGCAAAATTATAAAATTTGTTGATCTCAATGATCTGTATATATAACACACTCTTTCACACTTTGACAGATAACAAAAGGGAAATACTTTATCATTTCATCTGTCTGTATGTCCATGGTAACATTGCATTCTACACCTGATTTGATTTTGGTAGTCACTGGTCAAGATTAAAGGTTCACAAACCTACTCCATAGTATTGTAATATTGAATTCTACCCCTGATTAGAATTCGGTAGTCATCAGTCAAGGTTAAAAAGTCAAAGGTCACAGGTAAACAAGGGGATGGATGGTATATATATATATGTGAGACTCTGCTTTATACTGTAATATGTATGCCACAGGGAGAAGATGTTTTTATACTGTTATATTTATGCCACAGGGAGAAGATGTTTTTATACTGTAATATTTATACCACAGGGAGAAGATGCTTTTATACTGTAATATTCATGCAACAGGGAGATTCTGCTTTATACTGTAATATTTATGCCACAGGGAGAAGATGTTTTTATACTGTAATATTCATGCCACAGGGAGATTCTGCTTTATACTGTAATATTCATGCCACAGGGAGATTCTGCTTTATACTGTAATATTTATGCCACAGGGAGAAGATGTTTTTTATACTGTAATATTCATGCCACAGGGAGATTCTGCTTTATACTGTATTACATGCCACAGGGAGATTCTGCTTTATACTGTAATATTCATGCCACAGGGAGATTCTGCTTTATACTGTAATATTTATGCCACAGGGAGAAGAAAAGTGATAAATGCATTTTCTTTCTTTTCTTGTTACAGTGATAAACAAGATGGATACATCCAACCTAGAAATTTCCTTAGTCCAGATGGTCCAAAGTTATCCATGCAGACAACATCTTAGGGGAAAACAATGGACCATTTTGTGTTACACTCTGAACATATCAAATCACTACCCGGAGCATCATTCTACATTTAAATTTGTCTCGCATACATTTACGGAGGACCATTACAGCAAAACTTTCATTGTACGAAACAAAAACTGTGTCAAACCTCAAAATGTCCGTCCTCGGAACCTACAGTGCTGTGATTATTGCATTTCATTGCGATTCACCGATTCGATTCTGCTATTTATTTCAAAATAGTGGGAGAACTTTGTAAATAAACTGATATACACAATAACATACAGTTACTGTGTTTACAGTGATACTCATATTAATATTGAAAACAATTATTTGATATTTTGATAAAATGACAGTAGCATTTTTTAATTCTTGTACTGTAGGCAGATGATATCTTTTCATTTCCTTTATTATCAGTTACATTCCCTTAAGGTAGAGGAAGTTATTTAAGATACCCAATATATTTCATCCAATTCAAGAGTGTATCTTGCAAATGTTTCAATGATAGGTATTTTCATAAGTTACATTCCCTCAAGATAGAGAGGAAATATTTCTTATTTTTCCATCCAATTGTAGTATTTTATCGTTAAAAATATTCCAGTTATATGGGTTTTTTTTACCTCCTCACAATTTAGAAGAATTGTTAAAGATGTTTCCATCCACCTAAAGAGTGTATCTGATAAATATTCCAGTCGTAGATTTTATATTTTTCTTCAAAACTGTTAAGTATTTATTATAAAGTCTATCGTAGTTGAACATTTTATCTTAAAATTATCGTTTTCATATTTAAGAATTTCTGTCTCACTGCTGAAAAAAGTTCAGGTTCACAAAGAAAACTTGTTCCAAATGTTCTTTCGGTCATCTATATATTTATTTTAGATATCTTAAGCTGTTAGAAAAGGTTATATCTTCATACAATGATTGTTCTTAAATATGATGTTTTGTTTGTTCTGAAAACTGTACATGTCTGAATATTAAATTTATTATGTCATAATTAAACTTCTAAGCTAAAGCAATCCTATTTGTTAATGTTATTTATGTTTTACTTATTATTTTCTTTATTATATATATACTCTTCTTACATTGACGGTCCAGGGGTGATCAGTTTCATATGTAGATACCTAGACTGCAGATTTAGATTCTTCTTGCTCAACCTACATTTTCGTCTCTGGATGAGTTAAATAAGGCTTGCTTGGTAACTGAAGTAATCTTAGTAATTCATTTTCCAAAGACCAATTACTAACTAATCATACTCCTTTTCAAATACCGGCTAATGATAAAAATGAAGAACCGCCTCATTTGTATTGGATTTAGAAACTTCATAGATATCTATGTTTATCATTGGATCTGCTTGTTGCTCATCAATTCATGCAAGCTATCATCAGGAATTCTTACTACCACCCTTTGTTCCATTAACATCGTATTGTGACACTGTTAACTACAGAAGTGGATTAAATGGAGCATAGATTTTGAAGAACTAAAATATCTTTTTATCAAATTAAAACATCCTTTTCCTCAAAAAAGTTTATTCCATCTGAATATTTGACTTTTCCATGTTATACATTACCAATCCTCATTGCAAACTAAAGAAATGCCTTCGTTATCATATTGTGAGAGTTTTCTTGTCACATGAAATGTCAAAGAAGATTGAGCTGCCATACAAATATATGTCTGCAAACTATATTAACCAGCATTTTATATAAAAACAAAAACAAAAAAAACACCACAACAAATACCTCCAGCTTGACAATATATTTGTCGTGGTCTGTGGGAAGATTCACCAGCAGTTTGGTCTGTGGAAAGATTCACCAGCAGTTTGGTCTGTGGAAAGATTCACCAGCGATGGTCTGTGGAAAGATCCACCAGCGATGGTCTGTGGAAAGAGATTCACCAGCGATGGTCTGTGGAAAGAGATTCACCAGTGATGGTCTGTGGAAAGATTCACCAGCAGTTTGGTCTGTGAAAAGATTCACCAGCAGTTTGGTCTGTGGAAAGATTCATCAGCAATGGTCTGGGGAAAGATCCACCAGCGATGGTCTGTGGAAAGATCCACCAGCGATGGTCTGTGGAAAGATCCACCAGCGATGGTCTGTGGAAAGATCCACAAGCGATGGTCTGTGGAAAGAGATTCACCAGCGATGGTCTGTGGAAAGAGATTCACCAGCAGATTGCAATTGTTGGCATTCCCATAGGAACAAACAGAACTTCTCTTGGCCGATTTGTTTTCTTTGACGCTGAGTTGATGGATAGGCTTTTGAAGAATTTTAGCGTAAACCTTATCAAATTCTTCTCTTTCTCTTTCAGATTTACCGATGTTTTTGTCCTTAAATACTGCAAGTGTACTTTTAGAATGTAATTTGCAAATTTTAGAATGTTATCGAATTCACTAGTAAACAGATTAGCGCATTCACAATATTTGCAATTAGAAAATATATAAAGAAACAAAAATAAGCACGATGTTTAAAGTGCGAAAAGAGCTAAAATAAGAATACCGCTAAAAATAACTACGCTTACAGTAACAGGACATTTATTGACCACGTCGATCGTTAATGTATGTGCTCTCCTGAACTTGAAGTTAGGGCCAACACTAACATGTGCTCTCCTGAACTTGAAGTTAGGGCCAACACTAACATGTATTCTCCTGAACTTCAAGTTAGGGCCAACACTAACATGTGCTATCCTGAACTTGAAGTTAGGGCCAACACTAATATGTGCTCTCCTGAAGTTCAAGTTAGGGCCAACACTAACATGTGCTATCCTGAACTTGAAGTTAGGGCCAACACTAACATCTACTCTCCTGAACTTGAAGTTAGGGCTAACACTAACATGTGCTCTCCTGAACTTGAGGTTAGGGCCAACACTAACATGTGCTCTCCTGAACTAGAAGTTAGGGCCAACACTAACATGTACTCTCCTGAACTTGAAGTTAGGGCCAACACTAATATGTGCTCTCCTGAAGTTCAAGTTAGGGCCAACACTAACATGTGCTATCCTGAACTTGAAGTTAGGGCCAACACTAACATGTTCTCTCCTGAACTTCAAGTTAGGGCCAACACTAACATGTGCTATCCTGAACTTGAAGTTAGGGCCAACACTAACATGTTCTCTCCTGAACTTCAAGTTAGGGCCAACACTAACATGTGCTATCCTGAACTTGAAGTTAGGGCCAACACTAATATGTGCTCTCCTGAAGTTCAAGTTAGGGCCAACACTAACATGTGCTATCCTGAACTTGAAGTTAGGGCCAACACTAACTTGTGCTCTCCTGAACTTGAAGTTAGGGCCAACCCTAACATGTGCTCTCCTGAACTTGAAGTTAGGGCAAACACTAACATGTGCTCTCCTGAACTTGAAATTAGGGCCAACACTAACATGTGCTCTCCTGAACTCGAAGTTAGGGCCAACACTAACATGTACTCTCCTGAACTTGAAGTTAGGGCCAACACTTACATGTGCTCTCCTGAACTTGAAGTTAGGGCCAACACTAACTTGTGCTCTCCTGAACTTGAAGTTAGGGCCAACACTAATATGTGCTCTCCTGAAGTTCAAGTTAGGGCCAACACTAACATGTGCTATCCTGAACTTGAAGTTAGGGCCAACACTAACATGTACTCTCCTGAACTTGAAGTTAGGGCCAACACTAACATGTACTCTCCTGAACTTGAAGTTAGGGCCAACACTAATATGTGCTCTCCTGAAGTTCAAGTTAGGGCCAACACTAACATGTGCTATCCTGAACTTGAAGTTAGGGCCAACACTAATATGTGCTCTCCTGAACTTGAAGTTAGGGACGACACTAACATGTGCTCTCCTGAACTCGAAGTTAGGGCCAACACTAACATGTACTCTCCTGAACTTGAAGTTAGGGCCAACACTTACATGTGCTCTCCTGAACTTGACGTTAGGGCCAACACTTACATGTGCTCTCCTGAACTTGACGTTAGGGCCAACACTTACATGTGCTCTCCTGAACTTGACGTTAGGGCCAACACTTACATGTGCTCTCCTGAACTTGACGTTAGGGCCAACACTTACATGTGCTCTCCTGAACTTGACGTTAGGGCCAACACTTACATGTGCTCTCCTGAACTTGACGTTAGGGCCAACACTTACATGTGCTCTCCTGAACTTGAAGTTAGGTCCAACACTAACATGTGCTCTCCTGAACTTGAAATTAGGGCCAACACTAACATGTGCTCTCCTGAACTTGAAGTAAGGGCCAACACTAACAAGTGCTCTCTTGAACTTAGGGCCCAACACTGATAAGATTTTTCCACATCGGTAGTCTCTAGTTAATCCGGTATTCAAATCACGATCTCCGTAGTAGATGACCAAAGCTGACCAACAAACTTACATCACAGGGTACGAGGAATGCAGACTGATGAAGACTGGCCATTTTAGCGTCACAATGAAGATTTCATTGGTTCGGTTTTATTATGTGTAACGTCCTATTAATTAACAGCTTTGGTCATTTAATGTGTTAAATATGCGTGCATTTGTGCTGGAGACAGGATATGTTGGTGTATTTGCCTCCTTGCGATAGCATGGATCTAATGCCGATTTTATAGAGCTTCCTCACTGAAATGCCATGCCGAAGGCATCCAGCACAGCATTCCAATCGGTCACATAATACTGACGGCAAAACCAGTTGCTGAGATAATCCTTAATGCTGAACGTTAAGCAGGGAATAACAACTACCATTATTTAGGACTTTTTTACGTCTCGGAATGGGTACAGAACCTGCATTGCCTACCCCACTTGGGCAAACGATCAATACTAAGACCAAAAGTGAGATATTGCCCAACCTAATAAAAATCATATTTTCGCAAAGAAATAAAAAGGTTGTCAGGAAGTAGAGAGAACATACACATTTCTCAAATGCGTCAATGGGGGCAGCAGATCAAATTTGGTTTCTTCAATGTAGCTCTAGCGGAAGACACAGAAAAAAACCCGATTCTGCAGGTGGGGCAACATGAGTCGCCTTTTACGACAACATGCCTATCCTTTCCACAGCTTTGCAGGGCTATGATCTCATTGGGAGATATTCTGTTCAATAATAATTTGCATATAGTGGATTCTTTGTTACATTACTGGGCCCGTTTTCATGACACAGTTCTCATGCTCAAGCATGGGTTCTGTGCTTGCTTAAATCATGTCAAACGATTAAAAGGTTAAACAATGTAAACATGAAAAACAGTATGCGGCTTTAAATCTCTTCAATTTTTTTTTTATTTATAACCAAAACAAGAAATTAGACTTGAGCACAAATCCGTGCTTGAGCATGAGATCAGTCCCATGAATACGGGCCGTGGTTCTCGCTTCTGGTGGCGTAACGACACAACTTGGATAAGACCAAGACATATAAGCCTCGTATCCTTCGGAAACACTTTGGCCCGTATTCATGAAACAGTTGACATTTTTTTTTCTACAATAAATGACACACTTCTTTTTCTACCTGTGAATAAAGGTAACAATGCCAGCACATTGAGGTCTAACATATTATCTATTGATGATGTAGATTTCTACCTACTCGCCCTAGCATCACTGACGAATCATAGAAGGACGAAACAGCTGTACGGTGCAGTGTAGTTAATGTCTGTGGCCTACTGTATCGTTACAGCACGGAAGGAGGTACTATTATAGGTGTGTATCCTACGTTTATCTTCCCACATACAAGATGGTAGACTCTGCTGGTAGATATCTTACTTCCCGAGTTTGCCGTTACCTTAATGCCGCAGCAATCTCTTTTGAGTAGTGGCACGGTCCATGCTATAATGTTATTACTTTACTCATTATTCATTTGAAATTAACATGCACTCCTTAATTTTTGCAATTAATATAATCAAGGGGTTTTCCGCATCTCCCCGTCTGTTTCAGCAGTAGTTTAGACCAATTCAGATTTTCTCCTTTTTGGCCCTAGCATCTCCTGTAATCCGTAGTCGGACGAAACAGATGTTTGTTGCATTGGGGTTTTTTTTGTTTCGTTTTCCTTTATTTATTTTCATATAGTGTTA